AAAAAAAAAAAAAAAAAAAAATGAAGATTACCTTTGAAAATTTATCTTTGTCGAAAAATCCCTTTGAATAATTGTCTCTGTAAATGAAAATCTTTGTTATTTATTTTTGAAATGTTTGCTAACTGAAATTTGCCCCAATTTAGAAATGCATGTCTTTTTACCACTTTACTGGAAAACCTGGCTGAGAGTCAGGCAAGCACTTCTGCCAGTCCTTGTTTTGATATTAACGTGTTGTTTGATATTAACATAATATTAACATTGTTTTACCCCTGGCACCTGAGTTTCTTATCTCAAAAATGAGGGAATTAGACTAAATCTTATAAGGATTGTTTCAGTTCTAAAAGTCATATTTCTTTGAGATTCTGCAAGTCCTATTTGTATATACATCCATACAGAGGGTGCCAACAAATGTATATGCATTTTAAGAGAGGAAAAACTGTGTTAAAATTGCAATACTCAATATATATCAGTAATGAAAGATGAATACAAGTCGCGTTTGACTTCTGCAACTACAAGAGGAGCTCAGAGTGGTTACCATTAGTATTCAGACATTTCTGATTCCGGCGAACTAAAAGTAATGCATAGATAACATTACTTAAAATGTGTATAAATTTTTTTGGCACCCCTGATATATAGAAACTGATAAAATCAATAAGCATTTATCAATACAACTTTAGACACTGTAGGTAAACTAGCCTGTCTGATTTACAGAAGCCACACACACAGTCAACCCCAGCACATTACATTTTACCTTTTTTGAGGCCTCTTACATTCCCAAGTGCTGTGCTGTATTATCATCTGTCTACTTACCTTTCTATCTCTACAGGTTTTAACATTCATAATTTATTACTGAGTAGCATCTTTCTAGGAGGATACATCAAAGCCTGATGATCATGCCTCTCCTTTCTAATAGTGTTGAGGAAATGAAGGGGTGCCTCAAGCTGCAGTTTCAGGCCTCCTTGTGATGTGCTAGAAAGTATCTGGGACACTTCAGACTGAAGGATTGAGCTCGGTCTTGTGACATGTGGGGTGTACACTGAGTCCCTGTAAGTTTATGAAAACAACTGTAGCAGCTTCTTTGCACATCAGTTTTGACAGGATGCTCACATATAACATGATTTAGATAAACATATTTTTCAAAGTGTTCATTTCTATGTTGAATCACTCAGCCTATCTGTTTATAATGCTATGTAATGACATTCCTTTTTTGCATTTATCAGAAGTTACAGAAAAAGAAAGACGATCAATGATTACCATTTTTAATCATGGAAAGGCTCATATCATTCAGTCAATAGCGTTCAGAAGAAAAGTAGATGCCTCATGGAATCCTAAATCACCATTTAAGCAAAAACCAACCCAGAGAGTACCTTCAGGTATTTTACAAAAACAAACAGACAGACAGACAGACAGACAAACGCAATCTACTCAAGCTTTTGGGTAACTTAATTATAATAATAACTATGATTTACAATAAACTAATATAGTGAAATAATTTCTAAATATTTTATAGTATATTTTCTAATTGTATTAGTCTAGTTAAATTGAAGATGCGGTTTCCATCTTCAATCATGCATATTAAATTAAATGAGGTAATGTGTTAATAGCGAGAGACTACAGTGAAGCTCTTCCCCCAGTATTTAGCACAACATAAAGGGCTCTGTAAATAAGCTCTGATGACCACAAACACCAGACAGTTTTACTAATCAAGGCTAGGTGTTTATGGAAAAATGTAAAGAAGAAAAAAAGATTATCTGCACTTCCACTATCCAGAAATAAGCACTGTTCATATTTTGATCATACTCACATACATGGTAGTTATGTGCAAAGATAACAAATATTTTCAGGATGTTTTATGAGTAGGAGTTTAATTTCTTACGTGTAGCAGAAATGTACACACATAGGGGTTTATTATTCTCACATAGCGAAGAGTACAAAGATAGGGCATGTAAGGTTAGTCTAAAGTTCTACAAGGTCATCAGTGTTCAAGAATGCACCTGTCTTTTGTCCTGCTCTTCTTAGTGTGTTTTATGGTTACAAGGTGACTGCTACACCAGATCATCAATCTCCATCCCAAGAAGGAAGAAAGGGTTGGTGAGAAGGTACAAAGACAAAATTATTTTTCTTGTGACTCTTTCCCAAAAGGACAACATACATTTTAAAAGAACTAAATGAAGTTTCTAGAAATGAAGGGGAAAATATTAAAATTAAAAAATGGTTTGGAAGAAACTACCTGGACTGCCCAACAGAGAAAGAAAGAAATAGAAGATATAAATTAAATGCCGAGACAAGAAGGGACATTAGAAAGAGAAGGTCCAATATAAGCTTAGTAATAATTCCTGGAAGAAAAAAATTATTGAGAGAAATTTAGCAGAAGGTAATGTTTGAAGTAACCAGGGCTGGAAATTTTCAAAAAATGATAAATTATATGAATCCTTAGATTTATCAGATGAATATAAACACATAAAAGACTTATAACCAAAATAATAATTATTATAATCCACACCAAAGGCAAAATGATCCCAAAGCAGTAAGAGATAAAATGCAGATTACCTACAAAAGAATTACATAAATTCACAAACTCCCCAGCTGCAATCCTGGAAGTCAGAAGGCAGTGACCTGCTTTTAAAATGCTTAGGAGCCAGGTGTGGTATCTCATGCCTATAATCCCAGCACTTTGGGAGACTGAGATGAGAAGACTGCCTGAGCCCAGGGGTTCGAGACCAGCCTGGGAAATCTGGTGAGACCTCCTCTCTACAATAAATCAAAAATTAGCCAGGTGTGGTGGTGCTTGCCTTTGATTCCAGCTACTTGGAAGTCTGAGGCGGAAGAATCACCTGAGTTCAGTAGGTCAGAATTGCGGTGGCTGTGATTGTGCCACTGCACTCCAGCCTGGGTGAGAGAATGAGACTCTAACTCCAAAAAAAAAGCTAAGGAAAAGTAATGGTCAATCAAGAATTTTATAACCAATTAAATTATTATTCAAGAATGAACAAGGGTGGGAAAAGAATAATGAGGCCTGAATTAAGACTTTTCCCTCAACTATTTTCTTGTGAAAATTTGCTCACAAAAATAGTTAAGAAATATCTAAAAACAAGGCCGGGTGTGGTGTTTCCTGCCTGTAATCCTAGCACTTTGAGAGACCAATCCAGGAGGATTTTTTGAGCCCAGAAGTCTGAAACCAGCCTAGGCAACACAGCGAGAACTCATCTCTAAAAAAAAATCAAAAACAATTAGCCCATTGTGGTGGTACCTGCCTGTAGGGTAAGGCAGGAGGATTACCTGGATCCAGGAGATCGAGGCTGCAGTGAGCCATGAATGTGCCACTGTACTCCAGCCTGGGCAACAGAGTGAGATCTCAACTCTAAATAAATAAACAAATACCTGTATAAGCCCATTTATATTTAACAATTATTAACATCCTGCCATATTCACCAGCCTCCATATATGAGACTTTACCTCTTCATTCAGGACAAACAGACCTCCTCAGAAGCTTCTACTTACACTTCATTGATCATCCCCATCTACAGTGTAAATTGGAAGCATCAATATATTGCTGAACCACATAAATGTTTCAACAGCAGACATCGTGACACTTCACTCCTGTCAACCCAAGAGAAAAATCTCCCCTTCATATGATGAATTTATTCAGGAGTAAGCAAAAAGAATTCTAATCCCGGGTGCACAGCTATGGCAAGTCACAAGGACACCAGAAACAGAACGGGAAGGGAAGCTTCTATTTGTCAAAAAGGATTTCACACGAACTGCTTAGAATTCATTGGTTCCAGAGGCCCAAAGCCACTGGTTCATTGGTGGAGATGCTGTTAGGCACTGTTACTAGGCAAGGGTTCTCTTGAGAGCATCTTCCCTGAATTTCTGCAGTCCCAAAGAACATCTAGTGAAAAACTTGATCATGGAAATATGTGCATATGTGCGACATATACGTTGTGACAATCATGGGATGTGTGAAGAACATGAAGGAATTTCTTGGGTTATTTTGGAACGTCCTTGAGACGGGTCTTATCTCAGACATGCAGGCATCAGCTTTCCTCCCTCGTGCCTTCCTGCCTCTAATTTGTTTGAATATGACAAGAGTGGTTCTGTCCTCATATCTGCAACTTTCACACTCCTAAATACTTCTGCCTGCACGTTTAAAAATAAGGACATTCTCCTGTGTAACCACAATGCCACTATCACACCTACAAAAAAAACCTGATTTATTTATAGTATTTAAAAATGTAATCCATATGCTGCACATTTTCCCAGTAGTCCCAAGGTGGTTTCTATACCTGCTTTTTCAAACAAGAGTCCATTCAAGGTTCACAGCTTTATTTTGTCACTATGGTTCTTCAGTGTCTTTTTTTTTTGTTTTTTTTTTTACAGTTGCCATGGTTGGAGTGCAGTGGCACCCTCATGGCCACTGCAGCCTTGACCTGCTGGGTTCAGGCTATCCTTCCACCTCAGCCGTCCAAGTAGCTGGAAGTACAGGCCCACGCTACCATGCCCGGCTAATTTTTGGATTTATTGTAGAGATGAGGTCTCACCAAGTTGCCCAAGCATGTCTTGAAACCCTGGGCTCGGCAATCCTCTCACCTCAGCCTCCCAAAGTACTGGAATTATGGCCCTGAGCCACCGCACCCAGCTTCAGTATCTTTTAATTTAGAAATGTATCTCCATTTTTTTCCCTGTAGGTTTTTTAAGGGACCAGGCCAGTTATATTGTGGCATGCCTCCATTTTTATGTTTGTTTTCTCAGGGTGTCATTTGATTTGTTCTTTTATCCCTACTATTTCCCATAGAATGGAAGTAATGTACAGAGGACTTGTTGTGGCTGTGAACGAGTATAGCATAGAGCAGTGGTTCTCAGAGGATGGTCTCCAAACCAACAATGTCAGTGTCACTTAGGAACTTGTTACAGTTGCAAATACTTGTCCCAAACCAGATTGACTCAATTGGAAACTCAAGGGTGGGAAGACTTTCAGCTGATTCTGGTGTTCTCTCAAGGTAGAGAACACTTAGGATGGAGGTCACTTGGGATTAGACTCCCTTGTGTTTGAACACCAGCTCTGCTAGTCATTAAAAGTTGTATTTTGGGGCCAGGTACAGTGTCTCGTGCCTGTCATCCCAGCACTTTAAGAGCCCGAGGCAGGAAGATTGCTTAAACCTAGGAGTTCGAGACCAGCTTAGGCAACACATCGAAACCTTCATCTCTACAAAAAATGTAAAAAATTTAGCCTAGTGTGGTGGCACACACCTAGAGTCCCAGCTACTCAAGAGGCTGAGGTGGAAGGATTGCATGAGCCCAGGAGGTTGAGGCTGCTGTGAGCTGTGATCATGCCACTGCACTCTACCCTGAGCAACAGAAAGAGAACTGACTAAAAAAAAAAAGTTTTATTTATTTGGATATTAATTTGCTTCAACTTTCTGATTTTTAAAACGAGTATAGTATCTTCCTTTGGCCATTGTGATGCTTAAGATATAAAACATTGAGACATTTGATCTGACACATACCAAGTGTATAATAAGTTGAGCTATTCTATCAGCCAGATGCTTCCTTGGGTTTTCTTCATATGTGAGGCGATAGACCAACAGAATGATGTAGAATGACTGGGAGCAAGGCGTGCTGTTGCAGGAAAGGAATCTGCAGATAGGTCCCCCATCTTAAAAACAGCGAATGCAAGCCAGGTTCGGTGGCTCAGCCTGTAATCCCGCGCCTTTGGGAGGCTGAGGTGAGTGGATTGCCTGAGCCCGTGGGTTTGAGACCCGCCTGGGCAACTTGGTGAGACCTCCTCTCTACAATAAATCAAAATGAGCCAGGCGTGGTAGCACGCGCCTGTAGTTCCAGCTACTTGAAAGGCTGAGGCAGAAGGATCCCCGGGGCCCAGCAGGTCGAGGCTGCGGTGTCCGGGTGCAGCCACTGCACTCCAGTCTGGGTGACAGAGTGACACTCCAACTCAAAAAAAAAAAAAAACAGCTAATGCAGACAATAGCAAGCACTTCAAGGCCACTTCCATCTACTTTTCAGTGCTATGATTATAACAAGTGTGAGGTGAGAGTTGATCACTACCTTTAGGATTTACATTCTTTTGTTTAACCAGACTGCTGAAATGATTATAATCCTTTTTATTCTCTTGGCTGCTTTTCATATTAAACCTCCAAAAACAAAATTGAAGGAATAAAAGAAAAGGAGAGTATTTTATTGCATTGGAAATTTTTTCTTCTAAATTCTTTTTACTTTTTTTTTTTTTTTTTTGAGACAGGGTCTCACTTTGTCATCCAGGCTAGAGTGCGTTGGTGTGATCATAGCTCACTTCATCCTCCAACTCCTGGGCTCAAGCCATCCTCCCATCTCAGTCTCTTGAGTAGCTGGGACTACAGGTATGATCCACCACACTCAGCTATTTTTTTTTTTTGTAATTTTTTTATAGAGTTGGGGAATCTCATTTTGTTGCCCAAGTTGTTCTTAAATTCCTGGCCTCAAATGATCTTCCCACCCTGGCTTCCCAAAGTGCTGGGATTACAGGTATAAACTACTGTGCCCAGTCGTAAATTTATATTCTTAATTCACAGATATGTTGACAATAGCCTCTAAAAAGTGACAGCATGAGCCATTAATCTACTCATTTTCTACAAACGCCACTATATCATAGCAACTAAAAAGCATTTCGGCTCATAGTCTTGCTTATTTTAGCTTATCTTATTTAACCAAACATTTATAATGAATCTAATAAAGCCCACTAGGTAAGAATAGAGAATTTATCCTTATAGTTTTGTAGCTTCGATATTTGTTTAGTTATAAACCTTAGTTTATTATGGCGCCCACATTAAGAACTCTGAATTCTTTGGAAAGAAACCATGCTTGGAAATGTTTCCAAAGAAATTGCAAAACCGTATTTTGATTTTATCATCCTTAATCTTAAATTGAGAAAGAAATCAGTTATTTTTCAAGTCGCTTGAAAAGCATGGTCACTTATAAGTTTTCTTCAAACCCCAGTTATCAGTTTTTATCAAATAAATATGGTTAAAGGGCTTGTACCTATTTCCACTCATGTCTTTGGGTCTTACTGCATGACAACAATATCCTCAGAACCAAAACATTTTGAACTTTTCCATCTTTAAGTACACTGTGACATTTTGCCGATTTCCCACCAACTACCTAAATGCGAAAGACATTAAGTGGTATTTAAAATAAAATACCAACATGATTTAGAAATATCTACCAGTGGTGCAAAAGTGAAACTGCTGAGCCGGGCTCGGTGGCTCAGCCTGTGATCCCGCGCCTTTGGGAGGCTGAGGTGAGTGGATTGCCTGAGCCCGCAGGTTCGAGACCTGCCTGGGCAGCGAGACCTCATCTCTACAATAAAGCAAAAAATCAGCCGGGGGTGTGGTAGCGCCTGCCTGTAATTCCGGCTACTTGGAGGCGGAAGAATCACCGGAGCCCAGCAGGCGAGGCTGCGGTGGCCGGGAGCGGCCACTGCACACCAGTCTGGGCGACAGAGTGAGACTCCAACTCAAAAAAAAAAAAAAAAAAGAAAAGAAACTGCTGGATTTCCATTGTATCTGCTCTAGACAGAGCTCCAGGATCTGGGGCTGGGCTGGGCATGGTGTCACAGAGCCTGGGCCAGCCCGCTGAGGCTTCTACTACTCAGGGAGAAAGAAGAGTAATACCTTCTTTAAAAACCCAACAGACTATTCAACAAGTGGCAATTCACCAAGAGCGCATCAGTACAACACAAGGCAGGACAGAATCCAGAGAAAACAGATAATTGAAATTTATGAGCAGCCGGGCGCAGTGGCTCATGCCTATAATCCCAGCACTTTGGGAGGTGGAAGCAAGATTGCCTAAGGCCAGGGACTTGAGACCAGCCTGGGCAACTTGGAGAGACATCATCTCTAGAATAAATCAAAAAATTAGCCAAGTGTGGTGGCTCATGCCTATAGTTCCTGTTACTTGGAAGACTGAGGTGGACGGATCACCTAAACCCAGCAAGTCAAGGCCACGGTGGCCGCGAGTGTGCCACTACACTCCAGCCTGGATGACAGAGTGAGATTCCTACTCAATAAATAAACAAACAAACAAACAAACAAACAATATTGGAAATTTTAAATTTACATAGGGTAGATCTTAAGTGTTCTCAACACACACACACACACACACACACAAAGCAAAAGATAACTATGTGGGTGATCTCTGTGTTAATTTGTTGTGGTGCTTATTTCACAGTGTATACATATATCACAACATCAAGTTGTACACCTTAAATATATATAATTTTTATTTTGTTAATTAGGCCTTAATAAAACTGGGAGAAAAATGTAGAGAAAGAAAGTGCCTGGAATGATCAGAAACGCATGAGAGACTTGCATCAGCCACTTGTGAAGGGAACGATGCCATGAATTCTCCCGCGGCAGAGGGGCTGTGTGCTCTCTGCTGCTTGAGAATCTGCCAGAGCTCATACCATGGGCTTTACTGGTCCAACAGGTGCTGGTAGTTTCCATCTCTGACCTGGCACTAGGCCTTCTGGAGAGAAATAAACAAAGCAATGACAGTCCATAAGAAATCTAGGCTTTGAGGACTAGTCTTTGAGCTCCAAAGCTAGGGAAGATACTGATTCTTGTGATCTAGGGTTTGTTTATTCTGTTTCTTTGAACTTAATGCCAAGAATTCAAATGGTTGAAATGCCCCCAAATATTTCCCCTTGTTTGGTCTCTTAGTTCATTTATAGATGCATGTGCCTATCAGAAGAAAAAGTATTCATTACTACATACAAGCCTCAATGTCTTAATTATTAAAATTCCCACTTGAATTCAGTGGGTAAACTGAAAATTGATTACGCATTCTGTTCTCAAGGTTTTGAGATTTTTATTGTATTGAAGAATTTGCCTCAAAACCTAAGGTAAAACCCACCATATCTAAGAGGAAATTTCAGTTTCAGGTTAGGTTAAAAAGGCATTTTTGATAGATTGAACTATTTATATAAAGGGTGGCTTGAAAACAAAGTTATACTCTAGGCTTCTTTAACAGCACTGTTCCATTGTTTTAAAATGCTGTATAGATACTGGAAAAATACTAATTTAAACATGTTCTCTTTTAGATTTTGCATTTGCGAATAATGTAGACAAGTAAGTGAGTTTTAAATATTTTATTATCAGATTATTTCATAATTGTGTTGTTCCCTATAAATTATTCCCATTTTCTAAAATAGATTTTAATAAATTCAAAATGACTATTCAATGGGTGGGAAACCTTGCTATGTCTTTTTTTGTGATACATGATTTCAAGCTAAGTATTCATATTTGATAAATATTATCAGTAAAACCCCAAATAAATAAAAAAACATTTGATGTTTAAAAAATAAAGCTTAATTATTATCTATCTCAAATGAAGGTCTTCACCTTCCTTGTTTACTTTTCCTCCAAATATGTTCAGTCAGGGCAATTATCATGTAGATTAACATTTTATATTCACTAGTATTTACATTTTCAAAGGCAAATACTTCCTTAATACTATGAAAGACATTTTAAATTCATGAATATCAATGATTTTGTCATCATTATTTTTTATTTTTGCACTTAAGTTTTTCTTTGGATACAGTGTTGAATACTATTCACATGCACATTTATACAATGTCGCATAATGAAGAGAAATAAATTTGAAATAAAATAAATTTAAGATAATAATATGCACATGAGGAGGGGCCCTCCAAAAAAAACAGAGTTTATTTATAAAATATTGCATATTTATTCTTACATGTTTAAACTTCACTCACCTTCAGCTGGGCCCAGTGGCTCACACCTGTAATACCAGCACTTTGGGAGGTGGAGGAAAGAGGATTGCCTGAGCCCACGGTTTCGAGACCAGCCTGGGCAACTTGGCGAGACCTCATCTCAACAATAAATCCCAAAACTAGCTGGGCATGGTGGCATGCATTTGTGAATCTAGCTTCTTGAAAGGCTGAGGCCGAAGGACCGCCTGAGTCCAGCAGTTCAAGGCTGTGGTAGACATGGGCAACAGAGTGAGACTGACTCAATAAATTAACTTTCACCTTCAAAGTACTCTCTTTTTGATGCAATACACCTATCAAGAAGATTTTTCCACTGCTCAAAACAGTTTTTGAACTTGTCAATTTTGATGCGTTTTAGTTCTTCTGCCATTTTTTGTTTCACTTCTTCCACGTGGGAAAACATTTCCCCTTAAGGAATTTTTTCATCTGGGGAAACAAAAAAACAGTTGCTTGGTGCAAGATTGAGTGAAAAGGGAGGGTGGGGCACAGGGGTCATGCCATTTTGGTCAAAAGTTGCTGAATATCCAGAGCAGTGTGGGCAGGTGCGCTTGTAAATCACCCATCATGAAATGGGCAAATGCATTGAAAGAATCTCCAAAAAAATTCACTGAAGTTGAACACAGCCCCTCACAACAATGCTAGCTGGTACATTGAGGCCGATGGGCTCCCAGAACCCTTACCTAGTGGGGGAAGCCTGTACTCCAAGGGGCCTGCTCTCCAAAAAAAAAAAAAAAAGATAATTCCAGTTTTTGGGTGGTCCCCCTTGTATGTCTATAAATTTTTAACTATCTCATTTAACATAGTTTCAAAACATGACTTCATGAGTATGTGAGACGTAAACCATCATAGCTGATTCCCAAATAGATTCAAATATTTCATTTTAAAAATAAACAGTATGTACAATAAAAATAGTGCCACTAAGCCTGAAAGTCATTTGTCAGCAGAACCCACAAATTATTTGTTAGTATAACTATATTACCAAAAAACACAGAAATGTATAGCATTTATTCATTTAAGTTAAAAATTCATTTTGGTCCAATTGACTTGTATCTGATATCATTGCTATTTTTGCAGAACTGTGTTTGATGACCCAGAAGATGCTGTTTTTGTAAGGTCCATGAAGAGATCAGTGATGACCATCACTTCTATGAACTGGGACACAGTTCCAACACGGGAGGAAAAATACCTTGAAGAGAAAGGCACCAAGCCTGCTCAAATGCTCACACTTACACTGAGATAAGCCCTGGTGTTTCTAGAAATCCTAGTGGTTTTCAGTTGCATATTAAACCTCCTGTGACTTAGCATATTATATATTTATTATAATTTTATTTGAAAAATTCAAATAAGTGGAAACATCAAAAATGAAAAATAATTCCTGCATTTTAGGTTGAGTTTGTTGGTAGGTGGGTTGGTTTTTATTTTTTAGAGATAGGGTCTTGCTCTGTTGCCTAGACTGGAGTGCAGTGATGTAATCATAGCTTACTGCAGCCTTGACCCTCTGGACTAAAGTGATCCTCCCACACCAGCTTCCTGAGTAGCTGGGGCTACAGGTGCTAGTTTTTAAATTTTTTGTAGAGATGAAGTCTTGCCGTATTTCCCAGGCTGCTCTCAAACTCCTGGCCTAAAGCAATCCTCCTATCTTGGCCTCCAAAGTGCTGGGATTGTAGGTGTGAGCCACTATGCCAAGCCAGGGTTTTTAATGTAAAGTTGTTGTTAAGTAAAACATGAAAACAGAAAATGTACACAAGTCCTAAGTATTAGGATCAACAAATTAAAAAACACACACACACACACAAACTTGTTCATGTAACTAGCATCCTAGAAGTAGAACATTACTAGAACGCTAAAATAAAAAAATAATTCCTACATTTTAGGTTGAGTTTGTTGGTAGGTTGGTTGGTTTTTATTTTTTATGGATAGGGTCTTGCTCTATTGCCCAAGCTGGAGGGCAGTGGTGCAGTCATAGCTCACCCCTCATTCCTGTTACCAACCACTGTTTACCCTTCCAACGTAACCACTGTCCTGGTTTTTAGACAATAAATTAATTGTGTCAGATTTTGAAAGGCATATAAATGAAATCATAGAGTATGAATATTTTGTGTCTGGCTTCTTTCTTTGCTCAACATTGTAAGATCCATGCATACTGTGGCTGGTAGCAATAATTCCATCATTATCACCACTGTGTTGTGTTCCATTGTATGACAATAACACAATTTACTTATCAGTGGACTGTTTTTTATTCTCATCTCTGGAGACATTTGCCAGTTCTGAGTGTGGGCTAATGATCTGGGCTTGGCCTAGCCAGGAACCTGCTTCTAGGGAAAGCAAAACAAAACAACAAAAAGCTTTTAGCAGTTGCCTGGTGTTGAGTGACAAAATTGGACATTTAAGGTCACACAAAGTCATTGCTGGTTTTCCTAAGGAGCTACATAGAAAGCTTCTAAAAGACAGGGTGGCATGCCACCCGTCTGATGGTGCCTGGGAAACACAAGACACGTTGTAGAAGTAGCCTGTAAACAAAACGGTTAAGGGATAAAAGCCTGGAAGGAACAGTGAACTGACACCTAGAATCTACAGCCTGCTTTCACTTGCGGTCATCTATGACTCTATCTAAACATCTGGGTATAGTCCCTGGAAGAAGGTTGCCGCTGGAGTAAAGAAAAGGTAATGATGTGGGCATTTATGTGGGTGAGTGATTGACATCCCTGCAAAAGGGACTGTGTACAGCTTCCAAGATTAGGGGCAGAAGGAACCAAGACATGTTCTTGCTTGGGTCTGGGCCATAATCCTGAAAAGGTAAACTGGAAAAAATAATTTTAAAAATGCTTTAAAAGACATTTACTTACATTTTTAAAGGACTTATTTGATAAACATATAAAATCTACAGAACACTTTTTTGTTCACTTTTACTTTATGCAATAAACTAGACAATAATAACATACACATTTTTGCAAATGTAAACACTCAGGGATACTAATGATAGTTGCCCAGATATAACAGTTAATGAACCGTGTTCTAGGCAGGGTGCAGTGGCTCACACCTTTAATCCCAGTACTTTGGGAGGCCGAGGTGAGAGGATTGCTTGAGCCCATGGGTTCAAGACCTGCCTAGGCAACTTGAGACCTCATCTCTACAATAAATCAAAAAATTATCCAGGCATGGTGGCACATACCTGTAGTTCCAGCTACTTGGAAGGCTGAGTCAGAAGGACCACCTGAGCCCAGTAGGTCGAGGCTGCAGTGGTTATAAGCATGCCACTGCTCTCCAGCTTAGGCAACAGAGTAAGACTCCAACTCAAAAAAAAAAAAAAAAAAAAAAAAATATATATATATATATATATATATATAGTTCATATATATATGAACCATATTCTTAAAGAAATAGGTCAAAAAGCAAAATGTTTAAATGCCTATCACCATGATTGGTAATAGCGTGTACCCAGCTTTACGACTGCCATCATATGAAATACTGTGACTGGCAACCTAAGTCTTTTGACAAGCTCAATCAAAACCCACAGTGAATCCCCACTGCATACAAAGTTGCCCAATGAGCTGAGATCTTGAGGAAATTGTCCTCTCACCAATGCAGATGTACAAAAAGGACACTTCTTCATTTACGGAGAAAGCTTGTTTTTATGCACACCTACAATTTTTACACACAAAGGCAACATTGTGATAAGGCACTTCCATGAATTAAAATTTGTAAAAATTCATACAACAAATGAGAACTCTGAATGTCTTTATACAATGTATACCTGCAGCATTGGGAATGCATAACAGAACATAAAAAGTAATGTCGATGGTTTAAAATAGTGGGGGGAAAAACTGAAAAAGAAACCAAAAAAAGTGAAAAGAAAATTCTACATATGAAATCACAAATTATATTTTGAAGTCTTGCATGATGATGAATAACTGCTTTTTTTCTCTGAGGACAGGCTCTCCTTGGAAAATATATTCATACTCATTTTCTACATGGTATTTCTCTCTGAAATTCTTCAGATTCCCATATACAATAACATGAGCATTTTCTTTTACATTTTCCCATTCTAGCCATGCACAGTTGCTCACGCCTGTAATCCTAGCATTTTGGGAGGCTGAGGCAGGAGGATCACTTGTACCCAGGAGTTAGAGAACAGTCTGGGCAACATAGTGAGACCTCATCTCTATAAAAAGTAAAAATGTAGCCGGGTGTGATGACGTGTGCCTATAGTACCAGGTACTCAAGAGACTGAGGAGGGAGGACTCCTTCTGGCCAGGAGGTCAAGACTGCAGTAGGACTTGATCATGCCACTGCATAAGACTCGGCAACAGAGTAAGACCCTGACTCAAAAATAAACATAAAAATAAAATGTCCCATCTTCTGTACCATGCTTTTATATTGTTTTGAATACTCAGTATGTGCTCACAGACAGACCATAAATTTGGTGGAAACAATATTGGTGACAGAACAATAACACCATTGAGTCTTCTTATCTTATCATGCACATAATTATTTCTGAACCAGTCAGTTACTTTGCTATTTCTCTAGGAAAATGTGGCTAAAGCCATTAAAAGTTTCTGGAATTTTACAACTGGAAGGAATGCTAATGCAGATAAAAATTTTTTTTTTTTTTTGATTTGGAGTCTCACTCTGTCACCCAGACTGGAGTGCAGTGGCCGCTCCCGGCCACCGCAGCCTCAACTTGCTGGGCTCCGGTGATCCTTCCGCCTCAGCCTTCCAACTAGCTGGAACTACAGGTGCACGCTACCACATCCAGCTAATTTTTTAATTTATTGTAGAGATGAGGTCTCACCAAGTTGCCCAGGTGGGTCTCGAACCCACGGGTTCAGGCAATCCACTCACTTCAGCCTCCCAAAGTGTGGGATTACAGGCTGAGCTGCCGAGCCCAGCTCAGTTAAATTTTTAAGCTGAAGTTTTCGTCATTGCTATATTGCATGGCCAGTCCACTCATCTAATTTTTTTGCCAAAAGCATTGGGCTGATTGAAAAAAACACATTTTATTAGTAACACCTAGATATTTGCCTTTAGATATTCACTTGATCATGCCTAACTTCAAATCTGTCATTATGGTTTGGGGATTTAATTGAAACCCATTTTCTCCTGCAAAGTCACCAAATCTTCGAATAAACATTTATAAAGTGCTTCACTTTTTTCCATCATTAATACATAAATGGGTGGATAAGTTCTAGCTCCAATAGGGGCATGAATTATATAGTGACAAAAAAAAAACAAAAAAAAAAACCCAGTAGAGACAATTTTGAAAGTACTGTCTGATAACCTACAGGTCACATTTGGCAGGCTTCCGAATTAACAACCTGGGAAAGGTCTTATGATTCATGGCTTCCATCCTGTCCCTGAGTAAAAAATCTTATCCTGAGTCCCTCAATCTTATCATGAGTTCCTCAAACTGTTGACGTACTAATATTTAACCTACTGACATTGGAAAGAATGCTGATTTGTTTCTGAATCATAAAGTTTTACTGACTGTCTTGCCCATAAAATATTTTAGCCTGTTTGCTGTCATCTGTAGCTAATGATTGTCACCTCTGGTGCAGTTTGAATGTGAGACGTCCCCCTCCCTTCTGAAAAGCCTTTCAACTTGTGACAGCCTTTCAACTTGTGACAGCCTTTCAACTTGTGACAGACAACTTTGTTGGTGTGCCTTTCCTGGTTGTTCTTACATTTGACTTCCAATAAACATTTAGCAAATTATTTCTGCCTCAACAGCCTTCAATTTCAGTCAACACATCCATTAGCCAAAGTGAAACATGCTTTAGTTTTCTTGTTATATCTTCTATAGAAGAAGTCTATCTTCAAATCTCTATCGAAGAATAGTCCACCATTTAGCATGTTTTGTAACATGGGGGAAACCTCAGTATAAGCAAGAATCTTTGGTTTAGGAGGTCTCTGAGTTTGTCAGATTTTCTTTTAATTTTCTGAGGCAGGACGTTTTTCTGAAGGCAAGCATGGCATTATGTGTAAAGGACACAAGTGAATACTTTGGCAGGGGAGATTCCTTTTTTGCCTGCATTTTAAGTTTATATGTGATCTTTGAAACACTGGGAAACATTGAGGGCAGATCTTTCTCACCTGGTCTACTCAGATACACAATAATCTCCTCTGGAAACACACAGACATACCCAAAAGAATGCTTTACCAGGTTTCTAGGTATTCCTTAATCCAGCTAAATTGACATCTAAGATTAAGTTCTCAAGTCCACCCAGTGTTAGCTTGGCATCCACATGTATCTCCTTAAACCTCACTAAATTTCCAAATAGAGACAAAAAACAAAGTAACAATTCAGCTTAACATGATGCAACTAAGAAGATGCAACTATCCTGTATACAATGATAAATGCACTAAGTGTGATTTTGAGGATTTTAGATGTTAGGGATTTTGAAATTTAGGGATTTTCATCTTTAAAGATGTCAACATTTGGGATTATGGTATTCAGGATTGTATCTTTTGGAATTATGAACACTATTTTTTTTTTTTTTTGAGTTGTAGTCTCACTCTATCAACCAGGTTAGAGTGCAATGGCATACTCATGGCCACCACAGCCTTGACCTGTTGGGCTCAAGCAATCCTTCCACCTCAGCCTTCCAAGTATCTGGAACTACAGGCACACCCTACCACACCCAGCTAATTTTTTTTAAATTGTAGAGACGAGGTCTTGCCAATTTGCCCAGGCTGGTCTCGAACCCCTGGGCTTCAGGAAATCTTCTTGCCATCACTTCCCAAAGTGCTGGGATTACAGATGTGAGCCACCTGCTTGGTGATAAGCACTATTCTTACTCTCTCTTCTGGATCACTTCGTTTAAGGAAATCTTATGCCATGTCTTAACAACACTCAAGCAGTCCTCTGGAGAGGTCCATATTCCAAGGAACTGAGGCCTCTGTTCAAAGACCAGTGGGAAACAAGAGCTTTTGCCAATGGCCATGCAGGTGGCCCCTCCAGATCCAGCAATTGTTCGGAGGGCCACAGCCCTGGCTGAAAGTTTTGCTGCACCCTCAAGCCAGAGAAACCCCCAACCAGGGCCATCCAGAAAACTGCTTCTGGATTTCTGGCCTGCAGAAACTGTATGAGATAATGCTTACTGTTTTCAGGCTGATAAACTTGGTAATAATTTGTTACACAATAGATAACTAATACAATAACCTGGAATAATCTGCGCTGTTTTGTGGAGTCTCCAGATAGCTATAAGAGGAGGGTCACAACACCCCAGAGTTCTTGAGCAAGCCACATCGTCTTCAGCAGACTAGTTACTATTTAAATAGCAGTTCAGTACTGGGCATGGTGGCTCACACCTGGGTAATCCCAGCACTTAGGGAAACTGAGGCAGAAGGATTGCTTGAGCCTGGGAGTCAAGACCAGCCTAGGAAAAATAGCAAGACCTCCCTTATTTCTACAAAAATAAAAATTAGCTGGGGGTGGTGATGCGTGCCTATAGTCCTAGCTACTCAGGAGACTGAGATGGATAGATCACCTGAGCACAGGAGGCTGTGGTTGCAGTGAGCTGTGATCATGCCACTGCACTCTAGCCTGGGTGACAGAGTGAGACCTCAACTCAAAATAGAGAGAGAGAGAGAGAGAGAGAGTTTTAGGCAGACTACTGCATCAATCCTAGTAATAACTGAGAGACTGACCCTTGATCTAGTAGCTGTTAGACCAAAACTACTCATCATGAGTTGAATTCTATCAGGCCCAGTAAACAATGACATTGAGTGACAACAGTTCATTGCATGATGGAAATAGTGTATTTGGCATTTGGTTTAAGGTGGCCTATAGATGCCTAAGTAGTAGTCATTGTTAATTAGATTGCAGTAAGATAAGAATGGGATATCGTAATCTCTAGGTTAATCACCAAAAGAAAAAAAATGGAGAGTCTTTGTTTGATATTTTATTTTTAATTCCATAATCCCTGAAAAGAATAAAACATTTGCTCCAATATAAAAATGTCTGACAAATTTTACTTGATCTTTTTAGAGAGCTAATGGAAACATGTCACACCTGCAGGAAAAATAACATTTGCTTGAAAGTCCAACCCTATTCAGTAGTGATAGGCTACCGAGCGGCTGTGACTGGAAAACATTGTATGAAATGCCATTTCCAAAGAAACACAAAATAGAGGATATGATCCTTAAGTTACCTAAATGGAACTCCCAAAACGGAACATGTCATTATTAAGAGGGTGTTTTTTTAACTAAGCTCTCTGCTTTAAACAACAGAGACCCATTCAAACTGGCTCAAGGAGAAGCAGGTCTACTTCTGATCTGTTGGGAGATTCACGACTGGGAAACAGACAATACTGACAGAGATTTAGAGAGGCCGTGGCTAAACACCGGGGCTCTGGAATCAGACTGGTCTAGCTTAGCTCTTGTACTTACTAGTTATGTTACTTGAAAAAGTTGTGAAACTCTTTAGGCTTTAATTCTCTCTTATTTAAAATAATAGTAGTTATCTCATAGAATCTCAAGAATTAAGGTAGATATGTATGTAAAGTGCTAAATAGAGTGGCTTTATTAAAGTACTCTGGCTAGACGCGTTGGCTCACTCCTATTATCCCAGCACTTTGGGAGCCCAGGAGTTGGAGACCAGCCTGGGTAACATAGCAAAACCCCATTGCTACAAAAAATAAAAAAATTAGCCACATGTGGTGGCACATACCTGTAGTTCCAGCTACTCAGGAGGCTGAGGCAGAAGGATCACGTGAGTCCAGGAGACTGAGGCTACAGAGAGCCATGATCATGTCACTGAACTCCAGCCTAGGCCAAAGTGAGATTCCCAACTCAAAAAAACCAAAAAGAGTGTACAACATAATACTTAAAACTGCAGACCTCACTGAGTACCTGCTCCATGCTTTTTTCTTTTGTTGAGTTGGAATCTTACTCTGTTGCCCAGGCTGGAGTGCAATCCTCTCACCTCAGCCTTCCAAGTAGCTGGAACTACAGGCACGTGCCACCACGCCCAGCTAGTTTTTTTTACTTCTTATAGAGACAAGGTCTTGCCAAGTTGCCCAGACTGGTCTCGAATCCCTGGGTTCAGGCAATCCTCTTACCTCTACCTCCCAAAGTGTTGGGATTACAGGCATGAGCCACCACACCAGACCCACTCCACACTTTTAGATAAGTTAGGCAAGTAACCTCTTTAAATTTCAGCTTCCTCATCTGTGCTATGGGTTAAAAATCAGGTCTAATTCATAATCATTGTAAATAGTTAACAAGATAACTTCAGAGATAGAGCAACTTTCAGTGCTGTTATTATTACCTATTGAATTAAAAAGCAGAATCCAATTTCTTAATAAATCCACCAGCCAATTCAATATTGAATTATATCAGCTCTAGGTACAAGAAGTATTGGAATAGTAAGATTATTCTAAATTCTTTAGGTCCTGTTTTTGTTTGAGAAAAATTTTCTGTTAGCATAAACAACTCAGCATAGAAAAAAAGAACAATCACGATGAACACGTTTTGATGGTTTTATAATGGATGTTTTAAATACTTTGTGACAAAGGAAGGAATTATAATCAGAATCAACCCCATTTTTTCCCCTTAAACCCCATTTTCTGACTATTCCTTCCCTGACTTTCATCTGAGGACCATTCTGAACTCCATATGGGCCTGACTTCCTTTGTCCAATTTCAAAGTTCCTGTTTATGCCACCTACTGCTGTTAACTCTGATTCATGTAGCAATTCATTTCAGGGAAGAAAATGACCTCCCCATTGCCCCAACTCTTCTTTTTCCTATTTTCTTCTGTTTTTTTACAACCCTCTGTGGGGTTATGGCCCCAAAGACGGGGCCACACCCTCTTGCCAGAGCGCAGCAGAGTGTGTAGCAGAGTGTAGTGAGGAAAAGGAGGAGAAAGACAATAACGCACGCATGCACACCAAATCAGTCAAATCAAGGAACTCAGGGAAAAAGCATGTTGGGGGGAGGGGTGCCTGGGAGGGCTCTTGACTACCTAGAGATACACATTCACCCATGTGTAGATGAGGTACTTGGAGGAATGACTTCATTTTGCCAAGGAAGCCTTGTCATGATTGACAAGTTCAGACCGAATCTGCCGGCTGAATTCCTCCTACCCACTTCACACTTAACACTGAATTGATGAGAAATCCTGGAACATTGTGGGACAGGGTGTGTGAGAAGGCATATGTGTCAGGCCTAGAAGAAGAGTGACGGAGGGTAAGGAAGAAGAGAAAAATCGGATCAGCAAAGTGAGGCGAGAATTCTAGTCACTGTGATCTGCAGTTGTACATAGTAAAATTATTTCTCTGATGTTCTTTAATACATTTGTGAAGTTCCCTATTTGTTTTTGTTTTCTTTTGAGTCGGAGTCTGTTGCCCAGGATGGAGTGCAGTGGCACACTCACAGCCACCGCAGCCTCGACTTGCTGGGCTTAGGCAATCCTGCTGCCTCAGTCTTCCAAGTAGCTGGTACTATAGGTGTGCACCACCATGGCTGGCTAATTTTTTGATTTATTATAGAGATGAGGTCTCGCCAAGTTGCCCATGCTGGTCTCAAACCCCTGGGCTCAGGCAATCCTCTCACCTTGGCCTCCCAAAGTGCTGGGATTATAAGCTTGAGCCACCATGCCTGGCCTAGTTCCCTATTGGTTTAGTTCTCCAATATTCCTCTAATATTTGCCACTCCCCACAACAATAAATTACAGAATGAGTTGTTTATATTCGTAGGCACAATTTATTTTAAAATTCATACAGCACTATCTTCAGACATCACACCCTATCTCTGTTTAAATACCACATATGCTAAAAATTGATGCCAGGACATTCTCCAAATGACAGTGATGAATCAGCTTCTGGACAAGAAGTGTCCACGGGAAGCTTACAGGAAGATAAGATCAGGCTTTCAGGTGGAGTATGGCACATGAATTAGTCTAACAATAATTGTGTACACAGTATGTCTAGTCATTATTTAATCGGCAATTTCAGGATGTATCTTTATTAATGCACATGCTGAGATAATCTGTGGAATGCCTTAGTTCCTTCTGACAGACCTGACATTTCTAAAGATACAAAAACTGCAGATAGAACATCACTGCAGAAACCACAGGCAGACTAGACCACTCAAGATTACTGCCACATAAAACTGCAATTAGCTGAGCTATGGCAGACGTTCTTTAACATGGAGCTGTTCTTATTTCATTGCATCTGAGAAAGTAGCACTTTGCTATTGTAAATGCAATTTATATGTATTTTATTCACATAGAAGTTATGATTTTTCTAAGGACCCAACTCTGTAGCTATAGAATTTATCATTCCTGAAAATCTCTCTTCCACACCTTTTCTCCTTGTCCCTTTGTTCCCTAAAGTCTATATTTCTTCTTTAAGGGGATTTATTTTCCTTTGAGGATAATTGCTGGGAAGCCAACTTCAGGAAGGGAATGGAAACTTTTTTCCTGCATGTTGAAAAACAATTTTTTTCTTCCATAGGAATTTCTGCTCAATTATAGAACAGAAATCCATAGGAAATCGGAGCAGCATAGACAGAGCTTTGCTTGAAAACCTCTGTAAGATGTGGGATCCTGCCAGGTGCTATGCAGGTGTGACGAGACAATGGGGACAACACATTCATGTGAGTCTTCCAGCTCCCTGCCAGGGTGAGGACCACCACGCTGACACTTGCTGTGGCCTTTACTCCTCAGACATGTGTGGACCCACAGGAGCACCTTGCAGGTCTTTCAGCTTCGCCTCACTTGGAAGAGATTCTTCCTCTCCTTGCATGGAATCTTTAGGATTGGAATCTTCTTGGGGGATTCCCACGTCAGCCTCTGCTTGCTCTTCAGTAACACAATTAGAATTGACATCAAGTTTGCCATCTGATTTAAAAAGAGAGAGAGAGAGATGTTATTTCTCCTCTCCAATATAAGAGTCAGTGCTGGAGCAACTCACTATTTCTGATGAAATGAGTCATATAACCTAGAGAGGGAAGGAGAAAATAATACAGAACTCACTGTCCTGACACCTGCCTACCATGTGCCAGACATTCTTTGAAATGCTTTGAATGCTTTAATTTACTTAATCTTTGTATCAACTTCATGAGGTAGATTATTACCTCTCATCATGACTTTTTTTTTTTACAAACAGGGAAACTGAGAAAGGAGAAGTTTAGTGACTTGCTCCAAGTTTCCTAGCTAATAAAACAGCAGAACCAGTATGTGAATCAGTGTTTGAACTTCAAAGCCTGGTCTCTAAACTGAGATTTTTGTTTGGGATTAAACAAAATCTGTATTTAGATATGGCTTTCTCATTAATTGTCTTGAAGTCCCTGGGCAGGTAACTGCCTGTATGCAGTTCCTTCCCTTATCTACAACATGAGGGTAATAAAGGCTATCCAGCCTGGAAAAGGGGCTTGCGTCTATAATCTTAGTATTTTGGGAAGCTGAGGCAAGATGATCACTGGAGGGCAAGAGTTCAAAACTATCCTGGGCAATATAGGGAGACCCTTGTCTCTACAAAAAATTAAAAAATAGCAGGCATGGTGGTGGTGCCTATAGTCCCAGGTACTTGGGAGGCTGAGGTGGGAAGACGGCTTAAGCCTAGGCATTCAAGGCCGCAGTGAGTTATAATTGTGCCACTGCACTCCATCCTGAGTGAGTGTGAGACCCTGTCTCAACTAAAATAAATAAAATTCAATAGTAAATTAAAACTAATACAATAAGGCCTGGCATAGTGCTGGTAATCCCAGTACTTAAGGAGGCCAAGGCGGGAGGATCACTGGAGCCCAGGAGTTTTGAGATGAACCCAGGCAACATAATGAGACGAGGTTGCCACAAAAAATTAGCCAGGCATGGTGGCGTGCCTCAGGAGGCTGAGGCAGAAGGATCCCCTGAGCTCAGAAGGTCGGGGCTGTGGTGAGCCCTGCACTCCAGTCTGGGAAACAAAGTGAGACCCGATTCAATAGATAGATAGACAGATAAATAAATAAATAAATGCCATCCTACATGTGTAAAGAATAAAGGTGTCTGTAACATTCAGAACAGCATGTGGCACATGACTGATGCTTACTACATGGAAGTTCCTGTCCTGACGATCTTATTCTCTTGCGATGGTTTGTCAGTACATGAAGAGTCTGTTATTCTATGTCCTCAGCACACAGAAGGAAAAAGTTCAGTTCAGAAAACAGAAGAAGGCATGTCCATCAGAAAGCCTGACTATTCTCTTAGTAATAAATGGTTTAATTTTAATGTACAAATCACTGAATCCCACAAAGAGTGTTTCTCAAAGAGTGATAAAAGGGAGATGTTCCCTCGAGGGGTGAAGGTGGCAGTGGTTGGTATCAGAGTCACCTAGGCAACTTTTTCAAACTATAAATACTTCACCTGAACACACGCTATAATCTCTGGGGTGGGGTGAGGTGTGGTGTGTGGGTGGGATGGGTCTCCCTTCTAGTATAAGAGTCAGTGCTGGAGCAACTCACTATTTCTGATTAAATGAGTCATATAATCTGGAGAGGGGAAGAGAAAAAAAATCAGCACTCACTGCCCTGACGCCAGCAGAAATTCAAATTGCATATTAGATCTGCAATTTAATATGTAATTTATAGATATACTCTGTAATTTCACCTGCAGTTTTGAAATTTAAGACATTTAAAGATTTCCAAACTTAAAATTTTCTGGTAGCCAATGGGGGAGATTTAATTATTTCCTTATTGAAAGAATTAAAGTGCTTCATGAGCAGAATATAAGTGAATATCCATTAAGAGTCCCGACGTTCTAAGGCAGTCTTCTGAGTTAGAATGTAGAATGTAAGGCCAGGCATGGTGGCTCATGCCTGTAATCCCAGTATTTTGGGAGGCCAAGGTAGGAGAATTGCTTGAGCCCAGGAGTTCGAGACCAGTCTGAGATAACACAAGACCTCGTCTCTACAAAAAAATTTAAAAATTAGCCAGGTGTGGGGGCATGTGCCTGTAGTTACAGCTGTGCAGGAGGCTGTGCTGGAAGGATCCCTTGACCCCAGGAGGTAAAAACTGTGGTGAGCTGGGATTGTGCCACTACACAAGCAACAAAGACCCTGTCTCAAAAAAAAAAAAAAAGAAAAAAGAAAATTTTTAAAAAGAAGAAGAAAGAATATAGAATGTGGAATCAACTACATTCCTCAAAATTCTAGTTTTTTTTTTTCCAGTGAAGTCTAGGCTGATTATATCCCAAAGATGCAAAAAAGGGCATGTTTGCATTTAAGCATGATCCTCATGTTGGTCACCCAAGCTTCCACAGTTCCCAAGAAGACTCAGCTCCAGAGTGCCCTGGGTTAGTTATCACCCACCATCCCTCTCCACTTGAAGCAGCCTCAGCTAGGTTTGTATATACGTACTGTTTTCCTCTGGACTTTTTTCTTTGGCAGCTTCCAACTGCTGCTTCTCATAAATGTCCTTCAGAGTCTTACAGATTTTCTTATGTGCAAACCAGTGGGTTTTCTGACAGGATTGATCACAATATATTACCTGAAAGCAATTGTAGGTTTATTTTCACTTCAAGAGCTATGATTACACAGTTTCTCAACTATGACATTCAACCAAGAACTATGCAGTAAAAATGGTTAAGTTTTCAACACTTTATTTTTAAAATGTAATTTGTGGTTTGCATTGATTTAGATTTGCACCATTTAGCTTACAGTTTAAAACAAGAATAGATATATCACAAATGGTCTATCTAAGACTCTACAAGATGGCTTATGATGAATCTACTTTTGGTACAGAATTGGTACAGTGCAAAGACAAAGAAGATACAGTTGGCCCAAAACAAGCCAGAAGAAGCAGGCAAAGGCAGGATGGAAGGAGGCAGATACCTAACTCCATGATTTATCACACAGTCCAGGATGTCAGAGCAATAGGAGGAAGCAGTGATTAACTCCAGCTTGGGTGAATCAGCATAGACAGAGAAATGGGAAAGAAGCATTCCAAGTAGAGGGAATACCTTGTACAAAAATGCAGAAATAGGGAAATGAATGATATGTTTAAGAACAGGCCAGGCATAATGGCTCATGTCTGTAATCCCAGCACCTTGAGAGGCTGAGGTGGGAGGATTGCTTGAGCCCAGGAGTTTGAGACTAGCCTGGGCAGCATAGTGAAGACCAGACTTTACAAAAAAAAAAAAGATTAGCCAGGTGCTGGTGCATGCCTGTAGTCCCAGCTACTTGGGAGGCTGAGGAGGCTATGGTGAGCCGTGATGGTGCCACTGCACTTCAGCCTGGGTGACAGCGACTACACTCAAAAAAAAAAGAACGGCAAGAATTTTAGTAAATGGGTTCAAAACCAGCCTGGGCAACTTGGCGAGACCTCATCTCTACAATAAATAAAAAAAATTAGCCGGGCATGGTGGCGCATGCCTGTAGTTCCAGCTACTCAGAAGGTTAAGGTGGAAGGATTGCCTGAGTCCACAAGGAAAAGGCTATGGTGGCCATGAGCATGCCACTGCACTTCAGCCTGGGTGACAGAGAGACTCTGACTCAAAAACAAAACAAAACAAAACAAAACAAAACACGTATTAAATGCCAAGCACTGTGCTAGGCCCTTACACATAAATGATGCTGTAGCTTGTATTACTGGTCCCAATGAGTGCCTCATCTCTGCATTCACACACTTCCCCATGTGATTTCAGAGCTCTTTGCACTGAAGGGGAGGAGACTTGACCTTAAGTTTGGTCATGCGATTTGTTTTTGCCAATAGCATGAGACAACATGTCAATTTCAAGACTAGGCCTTAAGAGGCCTGTGTGAGTCTGCTTGTCCATTTTAACCTCTGTCATGGCCATGAGAACATGCTTCGCCTAGCCTGCTGGCTCAAGGGGAATGAGAGACACAGTACAAGGAACACAGATGGCCCAGCTAAGGCCAGCCAACCACAAATATGACAGATAGACTCAATGACTGCTTAAAAAAGTTTTCTTGTCTGTCTTTTAGAGTTTTTTTTCTCTCTCTTTAAGCAGCAACAGTTAACAGTTAAGTCTGGAATTTTATTTAGTTCAGAAAACTGAGGTTCAGAGAAGTCAGTCATGAAAGAAGGTGAAACTAGGAAGTAGGTTATGGCAGATTGTAATGGATTTCATAGAATATGCTAAAGAAATTCAACCTCATAGTCAACAGGAAATTGCTGTTACCTATGGGATTAAGCGAATATACACATACAGGCATGTGTGCAATATCTGGCCGAGAGAAGAACGTGATCAGACATGCCCTTTACAAAGATAATTCTGGCAGAAACGGGCAGCATAGTCCACAGGGATTGACGACGGGTGATAGTCAGAAGGAAGTCTTGGGTTTACATGGAGGAGTTGTTGAGGAGATTGCAATGAAAGTCAACATCAGAAGAGCTAAGATTGTGTATGCATGAATTGCCCTACACTAAATGCTTATATCTGCATCAACCTCAGTACCCTGGTCCCATAGATAATCTTCCTCTTATTTTCTCCTACTCATCCATTCATATCCTTTCTTCTCATGAGGTGGTCAGCATAGAAGATGAGGAAGGCTGGTAGTATGGCAAAGATGGACACAGCACAGAACCACGTTTATCCTATAATTCTCTCCCCAAACTACTTTTTAAAGTATTAGATGCAACATTTCCGTGGGTTAGAATTTATTAGAAAATGAATGTCAACTGTTACGTGTGTAGAACATTAAGATGTAACCACGAGCTTTGACCAGAAGTCAAAGAACTTGAACGCGCTCTGTTCTTACCATTTTGCATACTGAACATCGTTTACTTGCTCCCCTTTCCCCACAGGTAGTGCAAAACTCAACATCCACAAAGCCCACCTGACCAGTGATGGCTTGGGTAAGGACAGAAAACGCAGTGGGATCAGAACCCTACAGTGGGTATGACAGAGGGGGAGAGAGAGAGGAAAAAAAAAACTCTTAAATCATCACAGAAATACTACAGAGATATTACCCGACCAATGTTGTCTCACAATGCTGACACAAGGAAAGAAATCATTAAGGTCAGAGATTAAGTAGACTTTATGACAAAATGACAAATATCCTTTTGAGTATCCTATTTCCTATAAAAAGCACTCATGATGTAAGTTATGAGTCCCAGTAATTAAAGAGAGAAAAAATATGGCCCTATTCTAGAATAAGAGTATTTTTTAATTAGGGTAATTCAGTAATCCCACAGTGATTTCAGATGCAGCGCAATTAACTCAGAGTGAAATCTTCTTCTGACAACTGACACCAAGACCATATTCTATGAGACGATTATAAGGCATATCACAAAGGTTTAACAATCTTAATTCTTAAAAGTTTGGTACAATGTAGGTATTTTAAACACTTACTATATTTACAACTATTTACTTGATGGTCTGCAATTTAGATCATTAAATTATCATCTTCATCATTGGAATGTTTCAAATTTCTTAAGAAAACACATACAATTGCATCAAAGTATTACCAAACATCAAAAGCATAAAAATTATTCCTATAACACTACAGAAAATTAGAATGAGTTGTTCAAGGGGATTCCCTTCTTACAAGGAAAATTATAAGGCTAAGGGTTTACATCTGAGATTAGGTTATTCAAACCTATCTAGAGAAAGTAAAAATAAATACATCTATTTTCTTACCTATCCTAACAGTTCTATGTTCTGAGTTTTTTAGGTTTGTTCATTTATTCTCAATCAGAATTTTGCCACTTTTCATAATTTTCATTTTCATTTGAGCACTTGCTTTTTCTTCCTAAGAATATTTGCTTTTATATTATCTTACCAACCTTACATAATAGATCTTTATTTTATTTATTTATTTATTTATTTTTGTTGTTGAGTTGGAGTCTCACTCTGTCACCCAGACTGGAGTGCAGTGGCCGCACCCAGCCACTGCAGCCTCGACCTGCTGGGCTCTGGAGATCCTTCCGCCTCAGCCTTCCAAGTTGCTGGAACTACAGGCACGTGCCGCCACATCCGGCTAATTTTTTTTTTGATTTATTAGAGCGATGAGGTCTCGAGGTGCCCAGGCAGGTCTCGAACCCGCGGACTCAGGCAATCCGCTCACTTTGGCCTCCCAAAGCACGGGATTACAGGCTGAGCCACCGAGCCCAGCTAATAGATCTTTAAAAATATCATCTGCAACAATGTTCTGCATACTCAAGATAGCAAAAAAAAAAAAAAAATTCAAAAGAGTCAAGAAATATTTTTAAATGAGCACTGATCAGGAAATTGTTGTGCTCCTCCTGATTCAAATAATGACTGGATTTGTTTTCATGTGAAAGTGCTAGAAGTTCTCTTCTGGAATGAAGATAGTGTAATGGTGAGAAAAAATTAGGTGAAATGAAGCCTCAGATATTCGAGACTTAATCATTTCATCAGGAATGAAGTTCTGTGGCAGCTGTGCTCTGACGCTGGATTGCATCAGAGAGCCTGTTAAAAAAATGCAGGTCTGTCCCACTCCTCCATTCCCTCTAAGTGAGAATTTCTTTCTTTTTTTTTTTTTCTTTTTTGAGTTGGAGTCTCACTCTGTCGCCCGGGCTGGAGTGCAGTGGAACACTCACGGCCACCCCAGCGTTGACCTGCTGGGCTCAGGCGATCTTTTCGCCTCAACCTTCCAAGTAACCAGAACAATAGGCATGTGCCACCACGCCCAGCTAATTTTTTGGTTTATTGTAGAGAAGAGGTTTCATCAAGTTGCCCAGGCTGGTCTCGAACCCTTGCCTCCGAAAGTGCTGGGATTACAGGCATGAGTCACCACATCCAGTCCTAAATTAGAATTTCTAAGTTGTGGGCTAGGTGCCTGCAATATTATCAACATCTCCCCAAGTAATCTCCAGATGTACACAAATTTTGAGGATTAGGGGTACTTAATATTACACTGAACATTTAACCACACACTAATACTTTCAGGAATGTAGCTGAAGATAAAACTGAAGGATATTTTGCTGGGAGCATGGCTATTAATGTGAACTATTGCTTACAAAAAAAAATGTGGTACAGATGAGTAGCCACATAGAAACTTTCTTGTTGTTTTTGTGTGACCAGAACTTTCTTGTTATACAAAATCTTGCTATTTATTTTGTTAAATGAGAATCTGGCCAGATGTGGTGGCTCACACCTGTAATTCCAGCACTTTGGGAGGCCAAAGTGGGAGGATTGGTGGATCACTTGAGCCCAGGAGTTCGAGACCAACCTAGGTAACATACCCAGACCTATTTTTCTCTATTAATTTTTTTTTTTTTTTTGAGTTGGAGTCTCACTCTGTCGCCCAGACTGGAGTGCAGTGGCCGCTCTCAGCCACTGCAGCCACGACCTGCTGGGGTCTGGCGATCCTTCTGCCTCAGTCTTTCAAGTAGCTGGAACTACAGGCGCGCGTTACCACGCCCGGCTAATTTTTTGATTTACTGTAGAGATGAGGTCTCACCAAGTAGCCCAGACGGGTCTTGAACCTGAGGACTCAGGCAATCCATTCACCTCAGCCTCCCAAAGCATGGGATTACAAACTGAGCCACCAAGCCTGGCTAAAATTTTTTTTAAAAATTAGCTGGGCATGATGGCATGTGCCTGTAGTCCTAGCTACTTGGGAGGATGAAGTGAAAGGATCCCCTGAGCCCAGAAGGTAGAGGCTACAATAAGCTGGAGTGCCACTGCACTCCAGCCTGGGTGACCAAGTGAGAGTCCACTGAAAGAAAAAAAAGAACCTGTTTAGATGCTAGATCTCTTCTCCTGGACAGGCATTCATCCTAAAAACAAACAGATGCTTTATTCAATATATGTTATGAAATCAGAAGCATTAGCTAGCTTTCCAGAAGTTAAAATGCACATAGTCAGTGGATAAGGCCAAACATTTTTAATAGTATACTGTACCACTGGCATCATGTTTTTAATCACTTCCATGTCTCATACTTCATGATGAGCTTTGTGACAGGAAGAAGCCAGAGTTCCACACTAGGCAGAGGGAACTGAAGCCTGAGCAGAACAGCTGGTCATGGTGGCTCACGCCTGCAATCCCAGAACTTTGGGAGGCTGAGGTGGGCGGATCACTTGAGGCCAGGAGTTTAAGTCCAGTCAGAGCAACAAAGCAAGACCCCATCTCTACAAAAATGTTGAAAAATAAAAATAAAAAAATTAGCCGGGCATGGTAGTACCTACCTGTAATCCCAGCCACTTGAGAGGCAGAGGTAGGAGGATTGCTTCAAATTTGCAGTGAGCTATGATCGTGCCTCTGCACTCCAGTTTGGGCAACAGAGCAAGATTCTGTCTCTAAAGCAACATTTAAAAATTAAAAATTAAAATGAAAATTTAAAACAGTGATCAGGAGGGCCCATGCATCAACACTGCCAGAAAGCAACACAGGTGATCTCCTGGCAGCCAGCCCTGAGAGCCATCATGTCATAGGAAAAGGTTGGCATCCCTTCAGAGGCTGATAAACTTGCAGTATAACAAAATCCATTAGGCAAAAAACAGCGGCTACTTGAAACACTTATTTTTTTTTTAAAGAGAAATCCATCTAAAATGCATGAAATACCATCTTCACTTTATTATAAACCTTTTCCTGATGACTCAGATTACTAGGATAAACATTTGTCATTATACACTACAAACTCTAATTACATTATTCCATCATATGGGGGCTAAGATAAACTGTTGATCCCTACACTGACCTGCTTTGACTTTTTTAAGTACTCTGGGCTGCTATTTTTCGATTTAATAGTTTATGGAAGTAGAAGGTCAGCTACCACTCATTAGTGCTGAAAATCCCCAGAATGGGTACTGCTCGTTGCTTCTCTGGTATTGATTCTCTCAATTTCCTCGCCAAACAGAAGCATAATTTTGTTCAAAGCAGCCGTGTTTAGAAAAGCCCAAAATACTCAATTTCCCAGACTCCTGTGCAGCTAAGAATGGTCATATGACACAGGCAGAACATTTCTAGAAGAGCTTATGCCTTCCAGATAGAGACCCCCTGGCTCTTCCTGCCTGCCTGGGATAGGAATGTGAGCCTGGAGGAAGAGCTTCAAATGCCTTACACCCTTGCAATCATAAGTATGCATCTGAGGACTCACCTGGTTAAAGGACATTGAGTGAGAAGAGGGGAAAGCACTGGGGTCTCCAGTCCATTTTTGAGCCACTGTGCCAGAACCACTCTGCCTAACTTTGGGCATCTAAGTATATGTGAATACATTAACCCCTATCTATTTAATTCACAGTTGGTTGGAGTTTAATATGCACTGCCAAAACACATTCGTAATTGATATATCACCCTCATAATTTGCTAACCTTAATATTTCAAAAGCTTAATCGCCAAATAACTAAGCAAATTAAAGAGTAAAAGTGAAGAATCTCTACGTGAAAGCATGGGAAACACTCATAAATAAATTGATGCATGAATTTTATGAGATGATCTTGTCTGCGCAGGTCTTTCTTATTTATTTCAGGGTTCAGAACAGGTGACACCTTAATGTATAAGGGATCACCTGGAACCCACTTCAAGCCCTGATTTTCCACACTGAGCATGATATAACAACCTAGAGAAGAGAACGGAAGTTGCCAGGCGGAGGGAGGAAGCCATGGATAGGAAGGCTTGGATGGTCTTAGGATCAACTTCTTGCCTGTTAGAGGATTTGATTAAATGTGTAAAAGCAATGAATGGATATAGAGAAGGTGAACTGAAATCTATCCAAAATACAATAGGCAGGGAGTGTCCTATGAAATACAACTTAAATAAGCATATGGCAAAAGGGTAGTAAGTAATTTAAGGAACAGATAATAAAGTTAACAAAATGCATTTTCCATAGCTGGAAAGTATAAGTAGTTTTTTTCCTAAGTATGGAAAATTTCTAATCGCAGGCATGAAGGTGGATTATAAGAAGCTGGGACATTGAGATGGTGATCAGGAACCAAAATGAGCCTTCCCATGGCTTGTTCAACTACCTCCTCACTGCCTGGACACCATCGCTCTGGACGATCAATATGTATGTTCATGTAGTGCAAGACTTTGAGTACTGATCATTCACACACCACATCAGTATATGCGTACCTACCATTCCAGGTTTCATAGGAGTATTTAAAATGTAAGTTTCTATGATAACCACCTATATTCTGACACAGGGAAATACTATTTATTAAACTATGAACTGTTGAATTGTGAGAAGAGGATCTTGAGATGGACAAGGGATAAACAGAAATAAGTTTAGAAAGCAAACCCATCTCCATTTCTGTTCCTGAAAATGTTCTGAAATAACAAAAGTAAATACTAAAGAGAACTTGCCTTTAACAATACAATAGGCAGTAATGAGGTCTTACTGATAGAGTCAACTTAGTTAAGAAGAGCCTTACAATTTCAACAGGAGCAATGCTTCGGACCAGCTGCTGGAGCAGTGTGGCTTCACAGTAAGGAAATTTTCTGATACTTTCTCTGATGATCTTTTCTTGATATACTGGAAAGCCATCAGAAGGTCGACCTTTTAATAAGCTAAAAGACATTTTTTAAAGAGAATTGGAGTTGAATCATTGAGCATTCCCTCCTAGCCGAACCCAAGAGCTTTCAGTAGTTTCTTCTATGTTCCTTAAGATTTTCATTCTTTCTTCCAATCAGTGTCGGACTCCATTCAAATTGCTGTTCAACCTGCACATCAGGCAAAGCCTCATCAGGTTTCCGGGTCCTGAAGTGAATATGCAAAGGTGACCCCCACCATAAAACACACTCAACGCTGTTATCAGATTAGCTAGTTACTTATTACCATGTCAGTTATTTGTACAAAGAATGGAAACTCTCAGTGAGTCACACCCTTCCCACTTAGTTCCCTTTTCTCAGTAAAGCTGCCAGAGAATCTGATCTCTGGTGGTCACAGAATGAGCACAACACACTGTTCTCCAAGGTACAGTGACAGAGATACACCGCGTGCCATTATGAACCTAGGGTGGCCACCTATGGTCTAACATATTTATTCTCAGACTTGGACTTGGGCCACTTTCTAACTGTATGATCTGACACATGCCACTTAACCTCTCCAGACCTCAGATTCTTCATCTGTAAATCAGTGGTAACAACATTGTTGCAAAGGGTATAGAACTGAGGCATCACTCAACCAGAATTATAATACTGTTCCTTGTTTCTTGCAGACTAAATGTGATCCCAATGACACAATTGCTGTTGAAATGCTTAATTTTAAAACACCTAACGGACTTCCTATAATAGAATATGACCCGCTTGAGTGGATTTTATGCATGACAGGGTTTAAACAGTACCTTTTGATCAAGGTGTCCAGCTTATTCTCTCCGTCTTTTAAGAAGTTAATGCATTTTTGGAAGATGCAGCTGATGTAATGCATTTTCATAGCCAAGACTTCATTCATGTCTCTTTGCTTCATACATTTCTCACAAATCAAATCCATCACCTTGTAGCATTTATTCAGGGCTTGTTCTTCTGTCAGCAGGGGATTCTCATTCACCAGCATCACGATCTAGAAGAAATTCCGGTGAAGGTAGGAATTCCATGAGAGCATTTTCCACGCATAAAATTAGGCAGTCCATTTAGTTGATTTCAAAAGATCAAAGTTATAGAGGTAAGGCCAGGAATGGTGGTGCACGCCTATAATCTCAGCACTTTGGGAGGTTGAGACAGGAGGATTGTTTGAGCCCATGAGCTTGAGACTAGCCTAGGCAATATGGCAAGACCTCACCTATACAAAAAATTTAAAATTATCTGGGTGTGGTGGCCTGTGCCTTTAGTCCCAGCTATCAACAGGCTGAGGCAGAATGATCGGAGGAGGTCAAAGCTGTGGTGAGCCATGATTGTGCCACTGTACTCCAGTCGGGGCAATAGAGTAAGACCCTGACTCAAAACAAACAAACAAACAGTTATAGAGCTAATATAGGAAAACCCTGATATCATGGAATCTCTTAAGCTGTGTATATCAAATTTATAATGTGACCTGACACCTTGCTAAACCTGGGTATTAGTATGCTACTCAGAGTGCATGGTTTTAATGTCTCTGTTAAAGGCACTTTAGATAAAGAGAAACATGGCATATGTGCACAATCTTTATATATAGAATACAATCATTGAGCAACAATGACTTTTAGCTAATATTACTTAGCTCTAGAATTTAATGGTGAGGAGAACTATAGTCCTCATTAATTACTATAGGAAAATGAATTTTTTTCCCCCAGAAAGAAGTCTAAAATTGAATGTGTTTTACTTTCCAATTAACTACATTTCTCTGTGGAAATTTTCCTGAAAATGCTTACAATTATCTACAGTAATGAGACTAGGTCAAAGAAAAAACTATAAATAGCTTTAAAATGGGGGAATATTAGAGTTATCAAATCTTATGCATTATGAGTCCCACAATCCCCATGTATATACATATTAAGCTCAAATTTAGTGTAATACATATATATATGTATATATATATATATATATATATATATATATATATATTTTTTTTTTTTTTTCCCAAGCTGAAGTCTCACATTGTCACCCAGGCTGGAGTGCAATGGCTCAACCATGGTTTGCTGAGTCTCCATCTCCTGGGCTCAGGCGATCTTTCTGCCTCAGCCTCCAGAGTAGCTGGGACTGCAGGCCTGAGACACCACAACCAGCCATTTTTTCTTTTTCTTTTTTTTTTGTAGAGATTAGGTCTCACTATGTTGCCTAGGTTGGTCTCAAACTATTGGACTCAAGCAATTCTCCTGCTTCAGTCTCCCAAAGTGCTAGGATTATAGCTGTGAGCCACCACACCCAGTCAGCAGCATTTTTAAATTGACTTTGTTATAGGCAGATTCTTTGAAGTAAGTCTGTATAGGACCGCCATAAAAATGCATGGTGGCATGACAGTAATGGAATGTGTGTAACGGGGCGTAACTGTATGCCCAGAGCAGAGGGTAAGTCAGTACTTATTAACCCACATGTTATAGCTGAATCACTGTCACAGGGAGTACAAATGTCAGCAAACAACAAATAGATTTCCTGAATTACAGTCTTTTCTTTAGGCATATAAAAAGATCATCTGTTAGCTTAAGTAAAACTCATGCTTAGACCCCTCCTTAGAAATTTAACACATATTGAATGTCCTTGTAAATTTAAAAGCAGATTTTCACTTATTTTTGGCACTACTAGATTTATATATAACCTAGTATTGTACTAAAAAAAATCCAGCACTTAATAATAAATTCTTAGACTTAATCAAATAAGTGTAATCAGAATTCTTACTTGCAAATTTGCTGATTACTCCCTCTACTAAAACAGATATCAAAAATTCATTTGTGGCACAGAAGACTCACTAATTACCTGTTTATTCTTCTGCTAAGTGCAGTCATTTAAAGTTGCTTGATTTTAATATTGGCATTTATAATCAAAGCATAGAATCTTAAACTCACAATTGAGAATACTTTTTTTGTTTGTTTGTTTGTTTGTTTTGAGTTGGAGTCTCACTCTGTCACCCAGACTGGTGTGCAGTGGCTGCTTCCGGCCACTGCAGCCTCGACCTGCTGGGCTCCGACGATCCTTCCACCTCAGCCTTCCAAGTAGCCGGAATTACAGGCAAGCGCTACCACGCCCAGCTGATTTTTTGATTTATTGTAGAGATGAGGTCTCGCTGCCCAGGCGGGTCTCGAACCCGCAGGCTCAGGCAATCCACTCACCTCAGCCTCCCAAAGGCGCAGGATTACAGGCTGAGCCAGTGAGCCCGGCAAGAATACTTTTTTTAAAAGACGTCTCAAATAGAACCCAAGTTACCAATTTTTTGTTTGGATACATTTGACCTTATTTATTTTATAATAAATAAGCACAAACATAATATGCAGCACAAACATACATAAAGAAAAATGACAAATAATCACAGCATTGCCATGAGCTTACTGAAACATTTTATAGCTGCACACAAAAGAATAACATTTCTACTGGTTTCCTTCCTCTAATCTCTGCAGCCTTATACAGTATCATATTACAAAGGAAATCCTTATTATTAATTACTAAGGAGGAGTAAATATATTCCTGCCAGCATTAAAAACCAAATAATAAGATAGTGCCGCTAAAATTTGTTTTATAAAATTAAAATAGACATTTTAAAAAACAAGGAAACAAAAAAACTAGATGAATCTTATCTCCTGATGAACTGCTACCTGAAAATGTGTTTATGCAGTGGTGTTTTAAATTCTTTTTATTTTTTAAATCTTATTTTTATAACTGCTAGGTCTACAATTCTAGGCCTGAAAATCACATTAATAATCAAAACCAGGACTGCCCTGCATACAGCTGTCTCCTGTTCACTTAGAGACCCTGCTCCACCTTTCTTCTGTGGTTTTGCTTATCTCTTAGATAAACTTCACACTCTGGGAATCAGTACAATTCCCCAAATACCTTTGAAAACAACGCATCCTTATTGCTATAGTAGCCACTTAATCCAGTCACAAGCGTAACTGTGTTAGGTGCAGTGTCATGAAAAATAAAGTATGTGTCAGGGAGAATGTCTGTTCTTATTTTATTTTATTGGTTTTTCTTTTTGAGTTGAAGTCTCACTCTGTCGCCCAGGCTGGAGTGCAGTGGCACGCTCACGGCCTCTGCAGCCTCAATCTGCTAGGCTTAGGCAATCCTTCCACCTCAGCCTTCCAATTAGCTTGAACTACAGGTGCCTGTCACCACACCTGTCTATGTGCTTACTTTAAAAGCTATAGAACACTATGTGGTGGTTATTAGTTACTTTTTTATAATACTCCATATGAAAAACCATACTAGCTTGAAAACAGGGGTTGAATAATAAAAATAGGCCATGGCAAAAGCAACTGGGCGGCTTTTATATCCAAAGACTATATCAAAGAAAGGATTTCAAATGAATAGTTTGTTTTATACCTACAAAAAGCAAGGTCTAGTCTGAAGGAAGGTATTATAGGATAGTCGGTTTTATAAGACTAAGTACTCTAAAAAATATTAGGTAGGTTATTTCCGACTATATACCTTTACAATGTATGTCTTGTATAAATATGCCCTTAATCTAATTTATTCAAAATATATGCCTTTGAAGATAGCTGAAGGTAGAGTAATTCTTAGGACATTTAACCCTAAGAGATTGGGATCCATGTAAATGCCAAAAGTCATTCCACAAACCTTACTGCAATCTAAAGGTGTAGAAATATAGATATAAAAGATAGTGAATCCCCAAAATGCAAGAAAGTTCTTCAAATCAATCTAAACCAATATCCTGGAACGCTCAGGCAGTAAAGGCTCTTACAAAACCACACATATTCTCTACATCGAGAAATATTATGCCCCTTCAAAAAAACCTGTCTCCCCAGCTCTGCCTGTCCCCTGCCTAAGAGAACGTGCCATGGACTGGAATTGCTGCTTCTGACAAGAGTTCTCTCCCAGGTGGGGGGACAAAGAGAACCACAGACACAGAAGCGGATACATAGTTTTTTAAAGGTTAAATTGTAAGCCTCCTGTAATCTCTGCTAGAACCATTTGTATACCTAACCCTGAATTGTACCCCACATCTTTAAAATTACAAAAAAAAATTATAAAAAAAAAAAAAAAGAAGAAAAAAGAAACACCAGCCTGCCATTCATAACTGCATTCCTTTTTTGTCTACTTAGGATCACAAGTGTTGCTTCCAGCAGTTCTTCCAGAATGTTAAGAAAAACTGTGAGTTTTCTAAAATAAAAACAGAATACTATAAAAAAAAAAAAGAGAGAAAGAAAGAAAAGAAGCAAAACGGCCAGGCACATGCCTGTAATCCCAGCACTTTGGGAGGCCAAGGCAGGAGGATCGCTTGGGCCCAGGAGTTCAAGACCAGTCTGGATAACACAGCAAGACCTTGTCTCTACTAAAAAAAAAGAAAGAAAAACAGAGTAGATTTCACTTTTCGGTCTGATGGGAAAGGTATCTACTACCTTGTCACTTCTCTTAAAGGCCCAGATGATTAATTTGAGTGGAGGATTATATGACAGTATTTTTGTTTGCTTCTTGAGCTCCAAAGACTCAAAAAAGACACACAAGGATGCATCAGTGAAGTCATAGATTGTATATATTTTGTCTCTTATATCTTCAAATGAGCTTTAGTCTTCAAGAGTTACTTTCTAAGAACTGTCCACTCATTTTCATGATACTCAGTATTTTACCTAGATTCTTCTTTTGTAATAAACTTCTAAGGAGATTAATTTTACTACATATGGTAGCACCTTGTATTGAGGGGAAAAAAAAAAACAAGGAAAATACAGAACCCAAAGAATTGTAGCAAGAGCACAAAAAAAATCCTCATTTTTTTATAAAACTTCCTATCTTGCCCACAAACAGCTCTGCAACTGTCAAGTCTTACACTGCACATGAAGGCACGTGCTAGACACTGACATCTGAATGGAGAAGAAGAGCATTAGTGTAGGGTGCATGTGGCTAGGTCGTTTTCTGTGATGATTCATGGAAGAAATTATATTCCTTTGAATACATTTTAAAAAATAATCTTGTAAATAAAAGCAACAAAAGGTTGTACTTTAAAATCTGAAGAAAATAGCAGTGAAAATAGTTTGGTGTGGCTTTTGAAGATCCCCAGCTAAGCTGTCTAAACTTGTGTGTTGGACTATAGAGCTTGAGAATCCGTTGGATTTGACTAACTTGAAAAAACTCAATTTGGAAGTACTAAGGTGACTTAAAGGCACCCAACAGCCACTTGCATTACAAATTTTCTCCTGATTGCATTCCAAAACATTTCCCAGAAAGATAATTATTGCAGGAGAGGCTGTGGGTGCCCCACCTGGAACCTCTTCATTACTGGGCCTGTGTAGCAGGCCCCCCCGGGGCTTGGAGTATTGGTTGCTTTGGCCTTTTCCCCTGAGGACTGTCAAGTTTTATAAAAAATTGAGGGTTTTTTTTTGTGTGTGTGTGCTCTTTTCAAAGGGAGTTGCCTCACTTGATACTATCTGGAAGCTGCCCTTTCTTCCTGGGGACAGGCCCCAGCCAACAACAGAGTGATGGACACAAAAACCTGACTCCCTTCCTTACCTCTCTGGAGACTTCCATGCTCCAATCTCCCCGGGGGATGAGGAGGAAGCTAGCCACCTCTGCCTGGCTTGTCCTGATGCTCTGGATTGTGTTCCTTCCTCTCTTCCAGGTTTCCACTGAGAGCGCTCCCTCAGGAAGTTAAATGGCCAAAAGAGCCCACCTCAAGCTCTACAGTTACAAAACCCAACCCAAGACAATGATGATCCCACACAATAAGAGTCCTTTTAACACAGAAGCAATAATTACATCAAAAGGAAGTACAGTCACCACCATTTTACCTTGACAGGATGGAGATTCGTTGTGGTGATGATTTTGTGCAGCGGGCCTGCCAACTTTGAGGGTAGTTTTGGTTCTTTATCCAGTCCCTGGGGTTTTGTGTAGTAATCCAGTCTCTCTCGAGGAAAGAAATTGTTGATGATGGTCACACAGTCATGCTGACCTTTGAACAGAAAAGCAGAAAAGCTGGAATCTTATTATTAAAAATAAGATGTCTGGATTTTTTACTGATTACATTGCATTTTTTGTGACGTAAACATGCATGCACATCATTATCTTTCAGGAAAGGCAAGTAGAGGAGGAAGAGGAGAGGCAGAACAATTTAGAGAACATTCATAAACATTCTTTAGAAAGTCAAGAAATAAGATTTTAAAGACATAGAATCCACAATACATTTGAATACTATGTGGATGACAAAAAAACACTGCTCAACTTATCATCGACCCTAAATATTTTATAAAAGTTGCTTGTCATTTAAAAGTCTCTTCTTCCACCCCTACACCAATGATGATCATGCTTCCCTAATCAATCTGCTTGTATTTATGTAAAGTTTAAATTTACACCAAAGAAAGTATTTTCAGTATTATTATTATTTGGGGGTCTTGCTATGTTGCCCAGGCTGCCCTCCAACTCCTGACCTCCTCCCATCTCGGCTTCCCATAGTGCTGGAATTACCAGCGTGAGCCACTGCCCCCAGCCTAATTTTCTTAAATGAATTCCCTCTCCCCCCGAATTTGAGAAAAGCTTGGCCTCCTTGTGAAATGAGTTAGAGAAAGCTTTTGTTCCCATGAGCTTGAAATCCACACGATGGCTTTGCAGACATCTCTAGGCCACTTGTCTAAGTCACCTCTGGCCTCAGGAGCGGTTCTCTGGGAGCCCCCCTTCCTGGACGCTGTTGGCCTGATGGCCTGCAAGCATGCTCCTGCGCCCCCCTCCCCAGCTCCTCCCCACTACCTCTCCGGAGCAGGGAAGAGGCCACTCTGAGCACGCAGGCAGAGCCCACGGGGCACATGGGAGGTCGCAGGCTCTTGCGGGCTCTCGAGAGGAGAGCCTCCTTCCTCCTCTCCGCTTGTCGAGGGCCGCGGGGCCAGCAGCTGCGAGTCCGGGGGTGAGCGCCCAGATGCTGAGGCGGCTGCGCCCAGAGCAGGGTGCGCCCTGGGTGGCCCACGCGGCCCCTGCCCACTCGTGCGCGGTCCTGGGAGCATCTGTGCGATCCAGGCGACAACAGGTGACCTGCAGGGGGGTTGTTGCACTGTGGGCGGATGGACCCCGACGCTGGTGGTTCCTGGGAGGACCTGGGGGTGGGGATGGGGGTGGGGGTGGCCTGGGCCTGCAAGGGCAGAGACACAGCCCTATCCCCTCCGCGGCTGCACGACCCTGTCAGGTTCACCTGACTGACAAGGGTACACAGCAAGGGATCCAAGGGACCTAGCAACTCCCAAAGACCATGCAATGCCTCCCGCAGATGGCCTCTTGGGTTAGAGGTGTACTGACAGCATGAACCACAACAACGGCCACCACCACCAGGACCACAGCTAACTATTAAGAGCCTGCAAGTCAAGCAGATTCAACGAGAGTATATAAATAGGCTTTCGCAGAAAAAGTCGAATTCTAAAAAACTAATAGGCAAACTGAGGCAATCTTGGTTATGATTAAGAACTAAACCAGTCATGTAGAAGACCCAGGAGACAAAATATCTCAAAACAGAGAAAAATGAAGAGGTAGAAAGTATCATGGATGTAATAAAAGGGCTAGAGAAAGAAGTCTAAGAAATTTAACAGTGGAAAATAATAGAAATCCAAAAGAGAAAAAAAAAAGTCATGGATAGAGAATTAAACACAGGATAAAATAAAACTTCCCTGATTTGAAAGGAGAATTTGATCACTACCTCTATTACATTGGTCACAATATCATTTTGGGGAGTTTTCTTCTTTTTTAGGGAGTTTGTAGAAGGTACTTTTCTTTCTTTCTTCATTACATACATCTTGAGGAGAAGTCGGACAGTAGCAGTCTATATTAAAAATGTGAACTAAGTCAAGGGTGCTCTGTTTAGAGAATGATCAGCTCCACCTCCAGAATCTTCAAGAGAGAAAAATGACATTCAACCAAGCAAACCTCCTGATTCAAGTGGGTCATGAACATGACAGCATCAAAACCAACAAGGTCACTGTGTGTGGGAATTTACAACCGTGCACACACAGAAATAAGAGAAGATGAAGACCAATTGCACATGCTTCCATGAAACACAATCTTCATCCAGCTTCAACAAAAAGATAGATGTTCCTATTTTTTTTAATTGTTTCAGAATAGTTCATCAAAAGTATCAGACTAGACATAGGAAAATTTTAAGATAAAGCTATCAGAGAATAATTTGGAATTAGCTAATAACTATATGTTCTTCTTCTTTTTTAAATGAGATGAGGTCTTATCAAGTTGCCCAGGTTGGTCTCGAACTCCTGGACTCAGGCAATCCTCTCATCACCACCTCCCAAAGTGCTGAGATTACAGGTGTGAGCCACCACTCCTGGCTTAACTATATCTTCTTATTAGTCAAAAAAAGCAGTTAGCAGTTGGAAATATCTGTACATAATAATATCTGTTAATAATGATACTGTCACAGAACTAGGGATTTCTTCATTATGCCTTTTTTATTTTTTATTTATTTATTTATTTATTTATTTTTTGAGTTGGAGTCTCACTCAGTCGCCCAGACTGGAGTGCAGTGGCCGCTCCTGGCCACCACAGCCTCGACCTGTTGGGCTCCAGTGATCCTTCCGCCTCAGCCTTCCGAGTAGCCAGAATCACAGGCATGCGCTACCACGCCCGGCTGATTTTTTGATTTATTGTAGAGATGAGGTCTCACTGCCCAGGCGGGTCTCAAACCCACAGGCTCAGGCAATCCACTCACCTCAGCCTCCCAAAGGCGCAGGATTACAGGCTGAGCCACCGAGCCCGGCATTATGCCTTTTTTTAAAAAAGGAGTATTACTTTACTTTTTTTCAAGATTAATCTTTTTCATTTTAGGTAGTGCTTATTATGTTTGAATTTTTGTAATTGAAGTTCTTAAACATTTAGTTTTACTGGTTTTTAATTTCTGAATTCTGAATACACGCCAATAAAATAGTATAATTAATAGAGAAAATAATTGGAGGGATAGCCAGCACCTCATTTTGCTCCAGTATTACAATCACTGGACTTCAGTCTTCCAGTTTGAAAAGGTTCACACACACAACTAGACAGACATATCCTAGTAAGATTTTTTTTACTTTCAAGGATAAACTGAAAATTAAACACTCTTCCAAAATGAGAAAGGAAAGGTTTACAGTATAAAATAAGTCAAACTCTCACTTGTAGAAGATGAATTTAGAAAACTATAGTGTTGCTTCTGCACATGACTCAAAGAATTGGGGGATGAGCCATGAAGCTAGCCAAAATATGACTCACATTTCAGAGAGAAAGGAAGTTTGTCACAATGGGTTTCAAAGAACATACAACCTACATAATCCATCTGAGAAGGTCCTGGAACCACAGCCTAAATGAGAACAGAGATCTAAAGGCTGGGGAGGGACAGAAGGACAAAGGCACGGAGAGAGGAGAGCCACAGAGATAGCTCCTTCCACTGGGGAGGATATGTGACTGGCAAATGACACTGGGAATGGTAAGGACTCCTGAAAGAGAAGCAACACCCTGGCAATGATACTTGGATAACAACTGGTACTAAAGATACTAAGCTCTTAGCAAAGTCCACAGCTAGCAGGATGACTGACTCAGGTTTTGAGGAAGTGGTGGAGGAAGCGAAAGGTAAGGCCTGTGGCCTGGCAAGGCAAAAACAGAATGTGGAGAAATAAATGGGTTACGAGGATTTCATCTTATAAGACTGCTGAATGGGCAGATACAGGGCCTTGGGATGCAGAATGAAGGACTGTACAATTGTGATCAATCACTTTAAGAAAAGGTGTGTGCACGCAAATACACACACACAGGCAACAACAATGAACAAGTAAAATAATGAGTAAAAATGAGTTAAATGAGGAAGAATGCAATCAATTATATTAAATATGCATGAAATAAACACCTGTTAAAAGAGAAAGACTACCATTTTGAATTGTAAAACAGAGCCCACCTTATGTTTGTAAGTTACACCATAAGATTAAGTGATGAAGATGGAAAAGAAAGAGATGGCCAAAAAAAAAAATACTAACAAATGCAGCAAACAAATCCAAAAATCAGGATCAGGAATGGAAATAACATCAGAGAAAGAAAAACTAAAATAATTCAACAAGAAAAAAAAGTAACATTATGAAATGATAAAACCAATAGTAATGTCATATCAAAAAGTAAAAAGTTAAAGCATTTTCACTAAAAACAGGAAAAAGATATGTCAATTATTACTATTATTATTTCTTCTTATTTTGAAGCCTGAAACTTTCAAAGAGAAAACAAAGTAAAATTTAATAGCTGTTAAACCTAGAAAACTGTAATAAAAATGACAAGAAAAAAAATACAGAAAACAATAGCTTTTCTCTGTATTATACATAACTAGAGAGAAGTGACAGAGTGTAGAGGTGGTGGTGGAAATTCTCCTTACAATATAGACAATAACTACAAATTGCTAAGAAATAAATTTTAAAAGAAAGGACTGATATGAAGAAACCTATTAAATATTATTGAAAGGTCAAAACATAAGTCCAAAAGAAAGTAAAGGCATCCTGTGTGACTGGGTGGGAAGTCCTGACATCATACAGGTATTAATTCTCTGCACATAATTATATAACCATTTAGTAAAAAAAACAATTTAACTTACCACAAAAGTAATATTTCAATTCAGTGGGACGTGTTGGGTGGTTTAATAAATGATGTCATCACAATTAGCTATATATCCCAGAGAAAATGAACTCTAAACAAATAAAATCTAGAAGTACCAAAAAAAAAAAATTAAAAAAAATCTGAATGGCATTTAGGAGGATACTTGTGTAACTCCTGGTCAAAAAGACCTCTTTTAGCAAGACAAGAAATATGAAGGCTATAAAATAAAAAAATATAGCTACTTAAAAAGAAATTCCCTATGGCAAAAGTAGGAAAGAAAACAAGACCGGCATAAAAGATTTGAAACATGTTCGTTAGAGAATGGGTTGGCATCCATTATAGGCCAGAGCTGCTCGCCATAAAAAAAGGCAACCCAAAGAAAAACAAATATAGAAGACAAGCAGGCAATCTACAGAAGAGAAAATGCAAATGGTCAATATCAGAAGAAGCTTCAGTTCATGAGTAATGAGGGGAAATTCATAATAGGCCATCTTTTTAGCCATCAGATGGACAAAAATAAAAGAATGATGATATCCACTTCTGATGAGGATATCACTGTGAACTATTATGCCCCTTTGGAAAGGAATCTAGACGTATATTAAAATTAAAACCATAAACCCTTTTTCCCAGCAATTTTACTCCTAGAAAATACAGATATTAAAGTACTAGTGTAAAAAAATATATGATTAAGGATTATTAGGACTTTATTTGTAGTGAAAGGGTTTAAAAAAACTGTAAAATCTGTCAATAAAAGAGAGCTACATGAACTGTGGAACATCTATATCATGGAATATTATGTAGCTGTTGAAAGAACTGAGTTTGGCCAAGTGCAGTGGCTCATGCCTGTAATCCCAGCACTTTGGGAGGCCAAGGTGGGAGGACCACTTGAGTCCAAGAATTTGAGACTAGCCTGGGTAACAGAATGAGACCTCATCAATACACGAAATCAAAAAATTAGCCAGGCATGGTGACACACGCCTGTGGTCCCAGCTATTCAGGAGGCTGAGCTGAAAGGATCACCTGAACCTAGGAGGTGTAGGCTGCAGTGAGCTGTGGTCATGCCACTGCGCTCCAGCCTGGGCGACAGAGTGAGACTCTGACTGAAAAAAAAAAGAGAGAGAGAGCATTGCATTAATAGTTGAATGAACAGGCTCCTCCAATTCCAGCCCTGTGATCTTGTGAAAGTTACTTAACCTTTATGTGAGCTCTATTTTGTTTCGTCATAGACATAATGAAAACTTGTAGAGTTAAATGGATCTTCAGAGATAATCTAATTGCCCTGCTTCATTGCACACAGATCAGAAAACAGAGGCCCATGGAGGTGAAGGGATTTGAGATGATTCTGTAACTAATTATCAGCAGACATGAACTAAACTACAAGTCTGCATATTCCTAGTTTAGTTTCCCCACTGTGATGACACCCTCAAATTCAGCTTAGAAGTGATTTGGGGCAACTGGGACCCCTAACTGTGGGAAACAAAATATTTCTTCGACGCTTACACAACAAGGCCATACTTTTCTCAAATCCTTCTGAAATTAAATTAAGATAAAAATATTTGTTCTAACAAAGCTGTCATAAGACAACTGAGTGAGTGTCTGGCCTAGTCAATGGCAGCTACTACCCGTAGTTTCAATGAAATTTAATAAAATGTAACACAATGTACAGTTACCATCTCCTGCACCTAAGTAATTCCCACTGTATCTCAGCTTCAATGCAATTTCTCTCAAAACCCCCTTGGAAAAGGATAGAAGATTCATCTCTTCCAGGCATTTTGTTAGAACTCTTAAGTTTTCCCTTGGAGTATATTTTCTGTTTGTCATTGTTGTTAGCCTCTAAGTGGCTTAAAGGCATGATCTGCTTTGACTTATTCACCACAGCAACCAAGGCCCCTAGAATGATGCTCAAGGTTGTAATGTTAAGTATTTATTTGATGAATTATTATTTTCCACAAAGCCACTGACTGTACTCTCAATAAATCAGATGCTTCTATCTTTGCTTTTTCTATCAATGGACTCTCTTAGGCCAACTTAATGGTTCCAAAATATCAATGACCGAGTATTCATACCCAAGCACCCCTAAACTTCTACATTACACCAAGTTACAGGATTAACATGAAAAGAATTATTGAGCACACAAAATAAATGTTCATGTTTGATGAGGATGATGATGAAGCAGCAATATATTATTGTCAATCACTCTTTCCTAAGAAAAAATTACATTACTGTTGTAATAATTGTTAACAGCAGTGAATAAAACCATTTTAGTGCTGCATATACAGTTTTTTAAGTTCACTATCTCTTTTAATCCCACAGCAATCTTATAACCATTTTGTCATAAGGAAACTGAAGGTCAGAATCATTAGGTACCTTGCTACTAAGTGGCACAGTTAAAATTTTAACTCAGACTATTGACCTCACAGTTATATTCTTAAACACTAGGTTTAACTACTTCCATTAGAGAAAGAAAAAAATACCCGTTTAAAGCATTTGTCTATAATTTAAATGGCCCCACCACTCTTTGTATCTTTCAAAGAGGAAACTCAAAATAGCTGTTCATTTTCTCCAACGAGTCATTAGCTATTCCATTAAGTTATAATGGACTATAAATACTTTTTTTTAAAAAAGGCATGACAGTATTTGCACCCTGAGAAGCAAAGTGGCTTTTCTTTTTCTGCAAAGAAAACTTGAGGTATGATCTACTGTAAAATTACTGCAAAAACTCACCCACAAAAGCTGCCATCTGAGCTGCTGTTCTTCCCACAGAGTTGACAACATCTGTCTCAGCCCCAGCTTCCAACATTACCCATGTGATATCTTTATTACCTACAGTTAAAAGGGAACCTATTTGTTAATATTAAGCAATGCACAACTTAAACACTCCTTTCTAAACTATTTCTATCTTTCCCCCCTCACCTAGCATTCCTAGTGATAATGCTTATTTTAAAATCAGAACATACACATAAAAAATATCACAAACAAAAACAGAAGAGCTATAATGACCAGAAGTCCCCCTTTAATGTCTAGTAACCCATGCCATCCCTCAGACCTACAGGCTCTGGAATAACTTCATTATTGGAGATCTATCTTTCTAGATTTTTTTCTATCTAAACATCCATAGTTCTATTCACTTCCATAGGGTTGTTTTGCAATTATACACTACACTCAGTAAACAGTATTTTCCATTCATTTTTGCCATTCTGAACTATAATTTCCTTAGGAACAGAACCAAGGAAACATTGCTGGATCAAAGTTTATGCATATTTTTAATGCATTTTGCCAGGCTGCCATCTAGCAAGGTTGGATTGATATAAACTCCTCAAAACAGTGCAAAGAAGTTCCTGGGTATGATCATTCTTTCCTAATCTTTGCAATATAAGTAAAAGATGATAATGCATTGTTCTAATTTGCATTTCTTTGCTTACTGCTGAAAACATATGCTGATCAGCTAGCTGTATTTCTTCTGTCCAATTTTCTATTACAGTATTTGCTTTTTTCTAATTGGCTTATAAGAACTCTTTATATATAACAACATGACCATTTAAGATATGTAATAAATGTTTTCGTTAGTTTTTCATTTGTATTTTAGTTCTATTTTTGGTATATTCTATAAATAAAAAATGTTAGATTTTTATGTAATTAAACTGATCAATGTTGTCATTTTTGGAATCTATATTTTATATAATACTTAGAAATGCTTTTGTGTTCAGGATTATAAAAATATAAATTGCTGTTTTCAAAGTATAAGACCATTGTATTGCTTTTGTATTTTCTTAAAGACTTGCGCAGATAATTGTAGTTTCTCAATTGTCTTTATTCAGCAAATAGTAAATGACATGAATCAGTAAGTTTCTAAATGGATCACCATATTTAGCACATAAATACCAGCGATAGCTGGTCTCAGCAGCTGCTTGATCAAGAGAACAAAGAAATGTTCATATTGCTTCAAAATATAGATCTAGAACACCAAAGAAATTAACTTGAAAGATAATAGACCCAGCTCCTCAACTGTACCAGAAAGCTGTCAACATAAACAAGTGATTTAAATAACTAAAGAAACAGATCACCAAATTAACTACTATATAACTTATTTCACACATTATAGTTTTTCAAATTCCTACCATTCCTTTTTATAAAACATGATCTTAAAATTACTGAAAATGCATTTAATTTTTAACACATATGTACATATAACAAATCTGTAGTGGTAACTAATTTTAATAGAGTAAATGCTAGAACTTCACCAGAAAGTGCAGCAAACATGAGGGCTGTGTACCCATGTTCATGCTGAAGGCAATTGACATCGGCTCCATGTCGCAGAAGTAATTTGCACATATCAAGTTTTCCTTTATATGCTGCATGCATTAGAGGAGTCATTCCATTCTTTAACAGAGAGAGGAAAACAATGTATTAATTCTACTTGTTTACCTTTTTCCTACCCATGAACAATGCCTGTTAATTAAATTAAAAACATAACACAAACATGAATTAATAAAGTAATTCCTACAATCTGTAAAGTATTTTTGTATTCACTTCCCTACTTGGATTTTCCATAAGCTTCTGAGGAGAAGAAATGATTTTATTACCTGAGGTTTTTTTTATAGATTAGTAAACGGCTTCTGAGATGACTTGCCTGAGAAGACAAATAAAGATCCCCAAATCCCATCTACATATTTTTATCATATACAGTATATGACTTGATCATATTCATACATGATTGCATAAATATGTAGAAATGGTTGGTAGCATTTACTCTAGGTTACAGTGTTTGGTCTCCATGTTTTGTGCATATCCAGTGAGATATTCAGCCTTGCATGTACTGGTTACCTAATACTATTTGGTAGAGAAATGAGTGAATTGTGCCCCATAAGTCAATTTTCTCAGTAAGCCAGGCTAAACTCCCTGAGTACTGAAATAAAAATTGTTTTGGATGAAAACTTCTCTAAAACATATACAAAGAAAGACACCCAAAAACCTCTTATTCTTACATGTGTAAACTTTAGTCACCTTCAAAGTACTCTCTGTTTGATGTAATACACCTATGGAGACACTTTACTGCTCAAAATGGTTTGTGAACTTGTCAATTTTGAAGCTTTTTAGTGCTTCTGCCATTGTTGTTGTTGTTTGTTTTTTCACCTCTTCTGCATCAGCTTTTTTCATTCGAGGAAACAAAAACATAGACGTTTCTTGGGGTGAGATTGGGTGAATAGAGAGGGTGGGACACAGGGGTAGTGTGTTTTCGGTCAAAAACTGCTAAACACTCAGCATGGTGTAGGCAGGTACACTGGTCCATCACACCCATCATAAAATGGGAAAACGTGTTGACAGAAGCTCCAAAAAAATTCACAAAAGCCAAATGCAGCCTCTTACAACAAAGCTAGCTGGTATACTGATGCAGATGGATTCCTAGCACACTTACCTAGCAGGGAAAGCCACCAAAAGGTAATTCCAATTTTGGGGGGGGTCCCTCCTCATATAACCTCTTACCTTAGTAAAACTTAGAATGCTAACCTAATTTGAATAGTTCTTGATAAATCCAGGCTATGACTCTAGACATAAGCCATCATATGGTGAACGCAGTCCCACACTATTCTCAGAGAGAGTGGAAATGAGAATGACAGAGGCCGGGACCTATCGTGGCTGCACAAGAGGGAGCTCAGTGGCAGCCATCAGCATTTCTTGGGTGTAAGAATGGAACTATGACAAGGAGATGATAGCTTTAAGACTCCCTTAGATGGGTGTTTCTACAAGGATGAAATACATTATATGTTGGGAGTGGGTGTGACCAAACCTCACTATACAGAGGCCGTCAATAGATTCCTTTAGAGAGTAGGAAAGGACTGCGTAGCCATAACTTTTGAATGAGGAAAAATGTATTGAGAGCATGACCAGGGAGACAGCTCCAATGGTTGATGTAACTTGTATATAAGAAGCTAGTGTATGTGCTGGGGGTGGGGGTGGGAAGAAGGACGCAGTACTCTCAGAAAGGCCACCACAAAGAAGCAAACAGTTATTTCTTTAACAAATTTTTAGGATGCAGACTTCAGCCAGGGAATGAGCATCTTCTTCTCCTCCAGAACAGGTGGGCAATCACCCAGCAATCTAACCCTACAACTAGAGGTTATGTAGTTCTGAGAAGGAATAATCCCCAGACTGCAGAATTGTCCTATAGTTATTAAAAAAAAAAAAAAAAAAAA